TTGTAATGAAGCGCCTCATTTAATAGTCCATTGTCACGCCATACGTGTCCCAACCATTCGATTCGTTTTCCCCTGGTGTAGCTTAGAATATTTGCACGGCCATAACGTTCGTACAGGTCCAGATTGTGTCGCCGTTCAAATTCATTTGTTACCGGGTTGAAGACAGGACCAAATATTTTCCTGAGCACTTTGCGTTCGAATACTGCTAGTATTCTCCTGTCGTTTTTGCAAAGCGTCCAGGCCTCGCAGCCGTATGTCAATACCGGCCTAATGTAAGCGAGGTACAACCGGATTTTTGATTGGTGAGACAATAGTTTTGATTTTAACGTTTTCTCAAGCATGTAGTAGCACCGGTTGGCACACTTGACACGTTCTTTGATTTGCTGGTGGGCGTCTCTTTTGTTGTTAAATACCACCCCCAGGTATTTGAAGTCACCGGTTTCTGCAAAGCGTAGACCTCTCACTTCCATAAAGGATGTATTGTTGACGACATGGTCTTTATTAGATTTGGACCCATCGATTACCATAAATTGGGTTTTCGTTTCGTTGATGGTTAGTCCAACCTCCGCTGCAGAATCGATCAACTTTTCGCACGCTGATTTGACTAGATGCATGTTGTTGCCCACTATAACGATATCATCGGCAAATGCTAGTACTGTAGGCTCGTTTTGGTTGATTGTTGCGATTGATAACTTGGCATTCCGCATCACATACTCTAGCACTAAGTTGAATAGGGTCGGGGCCAGTGGATCACCTTGTCTTAGGCCGTTTTTGACTAGAAAACTGTCCGAGATTGTTTTTTGGCACTTCACTTTGCAGGTGGTATTATCGTAGCATGCTTTGACTAGATTTATATATTTAGATGGAATGCCAATTGATGCGAGGGCATGCCACATTGATTCCCTGCTGATTCTGTCGTACGCCTGTTTGAAATCGATGAACAGTGCTATTGTCGGAACGTTGAATTCGTAATTCTTTTCAATGATTTGGCCGATGGTGAAGATGTGATCAAGGGTTGACTTTGCCCTTCTAAAACCGCACTGGTATTTTCCGACTATTTCCTCGGCATATGGTACCAGCCTCCTGTTTAATAGATTTGTAAATACTTTGTATCCAATATCCAGTAGCGAAATTCCTCGATAGTTGACCGGTTTAGTTTTGTCGCCTTTTTTGAATATTGGGATGATGGTGGCGGTATTCCATGCCTCTGGGACTTTTTCGTTGCTCCATATTTCAGTGATGATTCTGTGGATTTCGATAAGGAGCGATTTGTCGGCTTTTTTGAGCATTTCGGCTACTATCATGTTGTCGCCGGGAGCTTTGTTATTGCTTAGCGATGTTACTGATTCGCTGACCTCCTCCAAGGTTGGTTCCCCCATCCATTGTTCTGTGGTCGTAATTGGGGGAAGAGACGGACAATTTGAACCTTCCGCATTTAGAAGTCGGTTAAAGTGGGATTTAAGCACTTCCACTATATTGTCTTTTCCCGACACTAAATCACCTTGGTCGTTTTCTAGTAGTGACGTTTGTTGGTTGAACGTTTTTTTCACTTGGTTGCAAGCTCTGAAGAATTGTCGAGACTTATGTCGATTATTTTCAATTTCTTCAATCTTATCTTTTTCATATTTTCTCTTTGTTGATCGAATTAGTTTGTTTGCTGCTTGCTTTAGATCGATGAATTTCTGTCTTGTGGCTGAATCGTCGTTTTGAAGAAGACGGTGATAAGCCAGGTTTCGCTCTTCGATGGCTTTTTTACATGATTCGTCGAACCACGGTTTTGATTTTGTCTGAGATAGCCTTCCGATGGTTTCGTCTGCTGCTTTCTGCAGAGATGTGACAAGGTGGTCCCATTGCCTTGGTTGGTCGTTATTAATGTGATGTTTCGTTTGGGCGAGAAAGGCTTGAGCCGTTTGGTCGATTTTTAGTTTTTCTATGTCGAATTTTTGTTGCTCGTCATGCTGGTGTGCCCGGCATCGTTTGATAGTATATCGTTGTTTGATTGTGATTCCCACCATATGGTGGTCGGTGTCGAAGGCTACCCCTCTATATGTTCGTAGTTTTTTAATTGATGGTTTGTGGGTGGCGTTGATCATGATGTGGTCGATTTGATTTTTTGTCGCGCCATCGGGCGAGGTCCACGTATATTTGTGGATCCTTTTTCTAGGAAAATAAGTTGACACTATGCACTGTCCTTTGGTGATTGCGAAGTTGATTAGCCTCTGACCATTTTGGTTGCTTATGTCGTGCAGGCTGTCGGGGCCGATCGTAGGTCGATATATGGATTCTTTGCCCACTTGGGCGTTGAAATCTCCCATGGTAATTACTACATGGTTACTTGAGATTCCATCGTATGTTCTTTCCAGTTCGTCGTAGAATTCATCTTTAACTTCATCATCTTTTTCTTCGGTAGGCGCATAGCAATTGATGATGCACAGGTCCCGTGGCTGGGCTCGTAATTTGATTGTACACAGTCTGTCGTTGATTGGTTTGAATTCTTTGACGGCTGGCAGAATTTTGTTGTTTATTGCAAATGCCACACCGTGGCGTTGATGGCGGTTGCTTTGCTCACTTTGAGCCACGTGGCTGCTATTGTTTACATTGTGAGGGCCGCTCATAAACAATGTCACATTTTCAATTTTCATGATTCCCGAGTCGGGTAATTTAGTTTCCTGGAGGGCGATCACTGATATATTTTTGGAAGATATTGAATTGACGAAGTCGTGGATTGCGCCTGTTTTGAATAGCGTTCTGACGTTCCAGGTTGATATATTAATCGTTTTTCCGATCACTTTTTTGTTGGTTTTGTTGATATTTGAGCACCGGGAATTTGTTGAACCGGGAATTGTTTGATGTACTGTAGCTGACGAATCCAGAGGTGTTCCGTTGGTGGTGTCCGTTGGCGAGCGAGGTATGTTGAGTCCGTTGATGGCAGTCCGGCTTTTTCTATTTGTTGGAGGTTGAACGATGAGTTTTTTACGTGGTCGGATTGTTAGTCCTGGACGCACAACCTCTGTGACCGAGAGGATCGGGACGGGTGTTTTAGCTGGATATAAAGGATGGTCTTCACGCCTTGGGTGGCCCTACCAGGAGTAAAAACTCCAGACGTACTTCTTCCATCCAATCCATTGTCACTTGCTCGCCACGTTGAGGCACACACCGTCACCAGAGCAAGCATTCCATAATCATAATGAAGAAAATTAACATTTTTATTACTTATTAGGTTTTTTTCTTTTTCGTGGCCGTCCATATTGATCGATGAATGTGTGTTGTGGCCATCGTTGAATTGGATGGTAACGTCGATTATTCGGAAATTTGCATACAACTCTCCATAGGTTTGTTCAATGCCCACAAACCTCNCTTTTGAGACATTTCCTTTGTTCGTAAGGCATGATGATGATCAAGATGTGGGAAAGGCTTGAAATATTCATTATGTTATTTAGATTTTTTTTTGTTATGCTTGACTTGACTATGTTGTTTCATGGAAAAGGCCATTCCATAATCATAATGAAGAAAATTAACATTTTTATTACTTATTAGGTTTTTTTCTTTTTCGTGGCCGTCCATATTGATCGATGAATGTGTGTTGTGGCCATCGCACAATTATTCGGAAATTTGCATACAACTCTCCATAGGTTTGTTCAATGCCCACAAACCTCCGGAGAATATTTTTTATTTGAAACAAAATTTGAACCAAAAAGTTTTATTTTTCCCCAGAAGTCGATTGTTTTCATCATTAGCAATGTTGCATTATTTATTTATTATTATTACGATTAGCCAAAAGCAAGCTTGCCGAATCTTTTTCGGGATAATTTCGTGGTTTGGATTGCTTCAGGGAAAATTCTTATCATCCTCATTTGTATTTTTATTCTTATTTAATGGGTTTATGGGCACAATGTCAACTAAGATATTTTTTGCTAAATTGATTTTCTACAATAATGACCAATTTGTTTTGAGAAAATCATTTTTCATTTCATTTTTTTCTTGTTTAAATTTAATTCGATTTTTTTCCTATTATCTTTTGTGTTTGATGATATTTTGTCTGGAATCACGTAATAAATTGAAACAAATCAAAATCAAATCAAAATTCAAATCGATATCGACCAACCAACATTAAGAAAAGCAATGTATTTTTCATTGGAATTTTTGTCAAAACATATTCCTCACATTTACCCAAAAAAGAATCCGATTTCATGATTGTAATTTGTCTTTTTTCGAATGTAGAGCATGTTATCTATATTTGAACATCTACACCTCATTCTTAGTCTTGTAGTCTCAATCGATTCACGATAAACGATCCAGTTTCTTTATTTTTTCTCTCTCTCCCCGAACACGATGAATCAATAATGAAATAGAATGATTTGCTAGTTGTTGTTGTTCACAAATTATTGTCGAATATCAACACAACTAAATGTCTCGTGAGATTAAATAACAACCAAATTTATTCAATTTCAATTTCTCCAGAAAAAAGTTATCAAGATCCGAATGTGATGTAAGGGGAATCTATATAATAAACACGAGAAGCGAAGCTTCTCGAGAGTGTCGTGCACAAAAAAGTGTCGTGCACAGAGAAATGTGTTAGGAAATTTTTAATACACAAATGTGTTAGAAAGGGTCTGCAGAAAGAGTCAATGTGCGCAACATCGTGCNACAAATAAATAGTTGGATCGATCGCAAAAGAACAAAACTTCAGCCAAAGATTTGGGAGATGGGCGGCGTAGCCGCTCATCTGCCAGAATCTACGGGCTGAAGCAAGTGTGCGTGCTGCTGGCCAAAGGCCAGCAACACACACTTGTTTGCTTTATAATGATAAATTAGTGTTTGTTGTTATTATTGGAGGGAAAATATGAAAGACAAAGTAAAATGTCAATAATTCATGAGGAAAATTGTTTTTGCAATTAATTTTATCGAAATCATAAATGAATTGAAAACAATCCATTTATGATATTTTCAATTCCATTATAATTCGTGAAAGTTTGTATTGATATTTCAATTTGCGATAGGTCCATGATTTTTTGCTCTCAACACCGTACGCGTAGTATCTATTTGATGTCGTTCATTTGTTGGCTATTACCAGCTATTGTGATTGCATCATACTTCAGTTCAATACCTTGCCAAGGTAATTTGCGATTGATTATTTTTCAAACAAATTCTAATCAACAACAACACCAACAGGATTTCAACATGAAAATTGCCGTTCAGATGTTATCCTCACATTTCGTTTTCGTTTTATGATAGTGGTAGCATTTTTCCTGCCATTAGTATTGATGCTATATCTTTACACAAGAATTTTCATCATTATCAAACGACATCAAAAACAACGTTTATTGAATCTGAATCAATCTGGGGGTGATAGGAGAAAATTAATGATGACAATCAAATCGAAAAAGGATTCAGCAACCATGTCCAATGTTAATGACGCTCAAATTAATGATGATATGAGCAATGATGATGGCAAATTTTCTCGAATCGATATTCGTCCTACGTCTTCCCTATTAATCAAAAATCATTTTGCTGATGATGATAATGATCAAGACAAAACTGCCCGATCTCGTTGTTCCGATAATGAAGACAACGATGATGATGATAAGCATAAACAAGCATCATCATCATCAACAATCAGTCACCAGAAACAAATTTTAGCACCCAGAATGGATAGAACACAATCTTTGAATGATCACTATTCAAAAACGATAAAAAACATTCAAATCGTCAAATATAATGATAATAATCAAAAAGATTATTGTACGGTGGTGGAAAAATTATTTAGCAATTCCTCTCCATCAACAACAACAAAAATTACAAACGATCGTTGTGTTGCAACTGATAACAATAATAACAATAACGATTATTATTCATCGGAAACAGGAGTTGTTGATGATAATTTATCAACCATAAACAATAATGGACAACATTATTTGAATAGATCGATTAAACAACAACATGGTGCCATATTAATCACTAATACTAGCAATGGTTTGATAGCAGCGAATAATTCATCACCCTCAAATAATGCCAAAGCATTGATAACAACATTATCGATATTAGGCACATATATACTGTGTTGGATGCCAGCCGTATTGTATCTTGCACTAACCTGCATTGATCATTGTTATTATCCAATCATTATGCTTAGTTATCGTTGGCGTGTCATATTCAGTTTCATAACGAATGGTTTAGTCATTTTGAAGGCTATCATCGATCCATTTATCTATACTTATCGTATGAAAGAGATGAAAAACGCATTAAATAGGTAAGTGCCTAATTCTACTCTTTTCTCTCAGTTGATCAAATTCATTATTCTAATCTCAACTTGAACACAAGCTCACCATCCAACCGAGCAAGGCGTGAAAAAATCTAATGAATTTTCGCAATTTAGCAAAATGCTAGTTATTATTACTACACAAAACAACCAAACAAAAAGAAGAATTTGTTCAGTTAATGTTGTGTAATCATCATCATCTTTTTTTCTTGCTTAATGCATATTGAGAGATAAGGTTCGGATTTGATGATGATGATGGTACATAGTGAAATTGTGGACATTAAAATTATGATCACCATAATCATCATAAATAGTACAATACCTCTTCATAAATATCAAGGGTGATAAACGATTTTTGTTTAGAAATTTTCATTCCACTATACCAGACAATAATTTTCCATTTCCAAGGAATTTTCTATAGAGACCAAATTGAAATGTTTGTGCAACAAACAAACGATTCAATAATGATCAATTTTCTCACATTTAGCTGCCTCAAATAGATTATTCTCGTTACGCTCATTGCAATTAAAAAAGGGAAGCCAACTTGTCTTTCTTTACAGTGTTTGTATTTGATTAGATGTCTTTTTAATCCGTTTTCGAAAAAGATGCACTTCAGCATTTTCCCAGAGAAAGAATTAATTTGATTATTAACATGGTCAGATCGAAAGAAATAAAGAAACAGAAACCAAAAAAAATGTCATTACATAATTGATCGCAAAACAATTTCATTGCTATTCTTTTTCTAGATGCCTTTATTTGATCTGCCCATTTGATTGTATACGGAATTGCTGTCCACAACCACCGCCATCATCATTGACCACATCAAATCGACATTATGATTCGACATGGTCTCGTGGTATGGATAACTCAAATATTCCGATCAGAATGAAAAAATTACATCATCAACATTCATCATTCTCATCCGAATCACAACGACGACGGCGACAACAACCTGAAACCAATATTTAATTCATATTCAGCACAAAAGTAAAAATCATAACCAAACGAAAAAGGATTCCTGTTTCAAGGGAATATTGTTTGGCTTTTTTTGTGTGAAAAAAAACCAGACAAAAAATATCGATTTATTCGCTTATATCTATGGCTTTGGTTTCCATAATGGCAAAATGAAAACAAATTCTCTCAAAATCTCTGCTAACTTTATTCAAAGGTAATATATATTTTATGAGAACAAAATATGATTGTTATCCCCTTTCTTTCTTTCTTTTTTGAAAATGAAATTTTTTGACAATAAAAAAATTTTCCATTTCATTTTGTTCTGTCATCATTTTGTCATTAAATGATAATAAGAATGGTGATGATGTCAATGCTAAGTAAACCAAAGCTAAAATGACTGAATGAATCCAATTACAATCCTCAATGCCATGTCACTTGGGTGTTATCGGAAAAATTGATCACTGAAACCTATCTATGAGAAGAAAGCTTTTTCCGAATAAAGAGAAAAAACCATTTTGATCAGTCTTTTTACTATTATGAGGATGATATTGATTTCATTATTTTATTATTATTGTTGTTGTTCTTTTTTTCCATTTAAGATATCACAACAACAACAAACATTGTGGAAATCTGATAACTAACTTTCCTATGCAGTGTATTTTAATAGTTTTACTGTATGTTGTCTCCACTGATTTTAATCATAGTGAAAGTGAAAAAAAGTGATTGACGATGATAATAATTTTCAATTCCATGATCCTATTATGTTTTTTATAAAAATCATGTTTTTTGTTTTATTAATGATGATATTTTTTAAAATGACAAACTATCAGACATTTTTCCATATAAAATGTAATGATTAATAATGATCATTATTGTTGTTTGTTTTTCTTAAAATATTTTACACAATCAATATGATTAACAAATCATCAACCTTCATTCGTACAAGTATGTCATTTATCAATTTGATTAGCAAACAATCATAATATTTCACTCATTGATTGATTGATTGCAATCTCTTTTCATATACAAATGAAATTTCTTTTAGCTATTAGTGAGAGTGTTTAACTTGATCATTGATTAATTCCCTTTTGTTTTTGTGAAATAATATCCATCAACAAAGTTCATAGATTTCGTTGGCTAGGTATGATCATCAAATAGTTCTGGTTTTATTTAATTGCCAACATATCCCAAGTTTAGTATTGGCTATAATGATTATATCGATAATACTACCATTGATTTTTGTGTTTGGCTTGGCATCATCCACTGGCATCAGTGATAATGGTAGGAGTTGTTGATTGATTGATTGGATTTGCAAGTTTTTTCCTCTTCGATATTCAATTCAATTAACTCAATTTTCTTCAATAGCTTGGGATAGAATATTATGGAATAAGACTGCCGTTCAGCTACGTCTTTATCCGGGATCATCGACAGTGAAATTTTTCAATAATCAATATGAAAAACACCAGAATCCTTTTCGATATAAAGTGTTTATACAAGATCTACTCAATAAACAATCTCCCACAGCAAATACTGTTAAATATTCACGTCTAATATCGGATCAATCGCAATATCGTTCGCAACCAGAAACAGGAATTGTTTACAATGCCGATGAATTTGTTTCATTTTGGACTAATTTAACAGATATTGCCAATACTCTCTTCATCATTCAAATACAAATCAACGATCATAATCATCAAACTAATGTTATCAACGCCTTCATACAGCCATTCCATTCCACGGATACTAATGGTTTTCGCAAAATCCCATTAATCAATTTATCTGATCAACAAAACAATGTTGTTGGTGAAATCGAAGGTAAATATTTCAGAATCTTTTAACCAATATTAACTTTGGATTGATTCGTTTATGACAGTCAACTATTTGATAATACGTCCATCGAAAGGTGATTTCAATCCATTATCTGATCATTATGTTTCGATTGATAATATTCGATTTGCTGGTCACCGTGGTACCGGTATTGGCATACGTCATGATTTGTACCTATCTCTACTGTTTTTTGCAAATGATTATTCTTTTTCTCTTTTTCCTACTTTGTTCTAGACCGGAAAAATATATTGAAAATACCATATCAGCATTCAACTATGCATGCAAAAATGTAATTATTATTATTAATATTATTAATATTATTGATCATCAGTCATTCTTCATTTGCTTTATTTCAACAACAACAGGGCGCACAGATGATCGAATTGGATGTTCAATTATCGCACGATGGTATCCCAATCGTATATCATGATTTTGATATTCAAACATTTTTAATCAATGTAATTTGAGCATTTATCATGTTGTTTTTGTGTGAGTAAAACAATATTTCTCCAAAAATCAATAGCGTCATAATGATAGTGAACATGATATGTTCCGAATACCGTTAAAAGATATGAGTTTGCATTCACTTCAACAGGTATGATTGTTTTTTGATTGGTTATTGCAATCAAATTAAATTGAATCAATTCAGATATCAACCAATTACATGCCACATATTTCAGAAAATGTATCAATGCTCTTTCAATCATTCGAAACGTTGCAAGATGTTCTCAACCATACTGACCCGAATTGTGGCATAGATGTTGAAATTAAATATCCATCCCAATTAACGGTTTGCAACAAACTAACAAAAATCAGTTAACAATTCATATTATTATTTATTATCTAGAATCTTCAATATGAAAGTGAATTAGGAATCGAATTGAATCAATATGTTGATCGAATATTGGAAATTTTGTTCAAATTCGGAAATGAAAGGCCAATGTTTATAACATCGTTTCATCCAGATCTTTGTTCAATGTAAGATTTTTTTTTTGTTTGATTCAACGCAGAAATTGACATACACACGCAGGATTCGATTGAAACAAAATAAATATCATGTCGCTTTTCTAACATCGGTCAAACATTGGTCAAGAGATCCACGTGATTTTTCTATAGAATCAGCCGTAGCATTTGCACAAAGTATGATGTTCAAGGGTATCGTACCGACTGTTGATGCTCTGCTAACAAAAACAAACGGACAATATCAATATATCGATTATGTTAAAAAACGAAAACTTGGCCTATATGTTTGGGGTAATCGAATCAATAGCCATCAAATTGTGATGAGTCTATTGGATAAGGGTGTTGATTTGCTCATATTTGATCAGTAAGTTTATTTCATTTGGCAAATAACTTTTTTCTATATTTTTTTCTCTTTTATCATACTAGCATCGATAAAATAATGAACCAAACATTCACCGCAAATGAAAACGGATTTTTTTCTTGAAACTATACCGTAAATAAACTTTGCGTGTATTTTCTTTCAAGATTTCGATTTGCTAAGCAAATAAATAAAGAAATGTTTTACTTATGATCACAGATTATCAAATGATTTTGTTCAAATAAACAATCAAATAACTTTGATTGGTCGGCTTTATTTTGATAAAGAATTTTGAAATGTTTTTTTTGAAATTCAAGATCCACTCGGTTCTCTCTCCGATTGTCGTTTCGATTTTTTCGACAACGATTTTTTCGATGATGATTTATGTAAAGATTTCTTTTTCAAAAATTTCTTATGCCAACCAAAATAATAGGAAAGCGTTGCCCCAACAACAAATGCAAACAGAATGGAAGATATGGTGCCAACGATTGTTAATGCGATCGATGTTTTACCCACTGGTTCATCCATTTTTATTTTAAAGGAAGGATTTTTGCCTGCTAATGACATTTTGGTTATTGGAAAAAACAACAATTTTTTTAAATCCGAATCAACAAGAAAAGATTATCAACACAATGCATTAAATATAGAATTTCTTTTTTTCAAATTTAATTACAAATTCAATCAATTTTCACAATTTTGGAACCTGTGCTGCCATCTAGATAAAATTATCATTTTTTTCGTTCGAATCTAAAATGAATTGAATCAACTCGATTGTCATGACAATCTTTAAATTTTATTTGAACAAGATTAAAAAGAACACTTTAATAAACGATCATTATTTGGTACTTTTTTGTTGTATGGCTGATTAAAAGTGATTGGATTGAATCAATAAACAAATTGTCAAGTTTGTGATGAAGGCTGTTGTTGAAGTAGAATTGAAATGTTACGATTTATCTCATTCAATTGAACCTTGGGAAATGAGGAAAAAGAGAATATCATTAGAGAAAGACTTGATTAATGTTTTGGTGTTACCTTTAGTTTATCAACATTCGATTTCACAGAATCTTTAGCCAACATGTAAGAACGAAGACGATCGATGCCGGTTTGCCGTCGTTGACCATAATGTTCTTCCCAAGCTGTCAATAACAGATTATAGTAATGACACGAATCAAAGTATTTCAGATAACTACGACTATTCCATGCTGGAAATACACGACTGAATTTTCCACAACGACTCAATTCATCTTCCGATTCCATAAGATGCATTACATCATCATCGGTTAATTCATCAATTAGATGACTGCAATAGCTATCATCGAGTCCATTTGATTTGAAAGATTCTTCGAAATTTTTATGCTAAAATTGAATAGATCCCAATTACAAGACACTTTAGTAATGACATAAGAAATATACCTTATCACTATCTGCAAGGCTCATCTGTGTGAGAAGATCGTTCTTCTCCGGACAAACCAGATGACCGAAATTGTAATGTCGTCGAAAACGTGGTGATAATTGATAGCCCAATGTATTGAGAATATCTCGTACTAATTGATTTTTAACGGAAAAATCCAGCACAGAATCGGCTCGTAAACTAGGTGTAATGTTCACTTCGAGTAGCCATAATTTCAAATTTTCATCCAGAATGATATCGAAGCCAAGCAATTCGAAACAAGAACGTCGATTTTTGAGATTCTGTTTAAGCAATGAGAGAATATTTGATTCGGCACTGATCACAGTTTTGATGATGAGATCGATGATTTGCTTCCAAATCTGATCAACATCTAAGTTTCTTGTCATGGATAAATGCTTCCACAAAGTTTTCAATGTCCATTTGTGTCCATCTTGTCCATCAACATTACTGTTTGGTACATATTCCACACAGTTCTTATTCACACTGTAATTAGTTAGATGGATGAACTGATTTTTGATATCATTCACACTATTCGAATAGCGATTAGCTGCAAATCGTACAAGACCTTCATCATAAACATAGACACGCAAAGGCAGTATGGATGTTATCAGTACATAGACACGAAGATCAAATTTGGCATCATTATGTAAAAGGCATGGATTGGAAATGTATTCCTGTACCACCATCGATACTTTTGGTTTACGCAAATTATTTCCATTACTAGCATTAATGTTACTGCTATTAGTATTGCTATTCTGTTGAGACATTAAAGTGTGTAATTCTTCCACATTCGATACAATATCGATTCCTTGTCCACGAGCCGATGCCGGTGGTTTGCAGATAAACATTTTCGGTGGAACATCATCATCATTACAACATTGTTCTGATGATGATTTCTGCTTGGTAGAACAATGATTCTTGAGTATGGATTCATCACTATTCCAATAAGCAATCAATGAGGAATAATCATTTGGCATGATAAAAGTTGGTGGATGAAAAACTCCAAACATATCGGCACCATATTTTTCAATTTTCGATTTAAGATTCAGCCATAATCGATCTTTACGTCCAAAATTGAAACTACCAGGAAAATGATTCACACGTTGATAATAACCGATTAGTTGAAATTCAGTAACACGCAAATGTTTACACCATATAGCGTTCCAATTATTGAATGTTTTGTTTTTAGGATTACGATCAACTAAAAACAAATGATAAATTATCAAGACAATCTTTTTCAATAATATGCACTAACCGGGCATGAGTTTGTATCCGGATCTCAATACGATCGAACGCATTGTATTGGCCGTGATACTAGTTATTTTCCACCGTAAAAATGGCTTCACTTCTTGTGGAACATCGGAAACTATGATTTTTAAGTGATTAAACAATCATATAAACTATCATGATTACCACACTTACGAATATCATCTTCAGCAACAAAATAAACAGTGGGATACATCAATGGAAACATGGAAGGCTGTAACATATAAGGACGCTTTTTCGAATCATCAAGTCTTGGAAAGATGCACACTGGTGATGATGATGATTGTTCAATTTGTTGTTGATCTGCCGATTGATCACAGATCTGTAATTGATATCGAATTATTTGTGCCATCATTTTGAAGAATATTAATTTAGTATCCAGTGATGTTTGGCTACCATTAGAAGATTGCGATGATGATGAGGATGAGGATGTGGTTGTCGCGGAAGAACAATGATTTCTATCATTACTGACACCATTCTTGATAATTCCATTCGAATGATGATTATAGCCATTCGTTTGATTATTATGAAGCATACCATTCTTTTTGCCTGAGGTAGAAGCGACGCTATCGAAAATTTCCGATGATGATTTAAGGCTAACATTCAATTCAAGCATGGTTGTCGTTGAATTATCCGTCGCCAATTCAATCACATTTGTACTGTCCATTATTCGGGTTTCACAAATTTATCTAACCAAAGAAAATTAACAATATAATCATCTAATTATAAAGCAAAATAAAGCAAAAGTTTACCCAAAATTTCAAATTCGCTTAAACAAATGATGTGGAAAAAATGAAAATTACCAAACGAAATTAAACAAAAAGGAATCGAAGGAATGTAGAGGAATAAAGATAGAACTATTTCACAAGGAATAAATCTTCAATGCCATTACCATCATCATATAGAATCGAAATGATTCGGTATTTACGATCAACCTTGATTTGCTATTTCAAATATAGCAATCACTTCAACTGGCACGTGTTGTTTTTAACGCACAATAATTTATCTATTTTTTCGGTGGTTATTGATTGATGGTTCAATGTCAAACTATTTTTCGATGGACTAGATTAGCGCATCAAACAAGCCTATGAATCACATTAAAGAGAATATTATGATTCATTCATCACATACATACATAACCATGAATTGGTGCCAAAATTCGCAACACTGATTATCTTAACAATGCAAATTCTTATCAAACATATCAACTATTGGCATTTTTATCCAATGAAATTGAGGACAAAATTGATTTAATATCGATGATCAAATGAAAAAATGAATATAGAGAAATGATAACAACAACCTTATACACATCAATATTGATCAAGAAAAAACTGTATCGCTACAATCGTCATGACAAGTGCATGCTTAGTTAAGTTTGCATTGGATGATCATGATGGGCACATGGATTCAGTATTGAGAATTTGCAGCCGACAAACAACAATGATCAATGCTCACACAGACAATCGAGTGAAGAACAATCACTATCATCACTACCACCAGATGTCACTATCATTTTGAATGGCAATAATAAAAAAATGAAGAGAAAAAACTGTTTGAAAATAAAAAATTTCCGTTTTTATTGATTTATCTAATCATCATTCATTTTCTTTACTTCTAAGCATTTCTATACACACAATTCTATTGTACAGGATGGATGATGGTTTCCCATACGGTTCTTGTTGTTGATGATTTATCTTGATTAATATGATGTTAATATCTAGTATTTGCCGTAATAGCCACCACCATAGTAACCACCACCTAAACCGTAACCATAACCGTAAGCTGGTGCAGCATAGGCTTTGGAATAGATTGGTGCAGCAATGATTGGTGCAGCATAGCTTTTGTAGATTGGAGCCGAAATGATTGGGGTAGCGTAGCTTTTGTAGATTGGTGCGGCAACGATCGGGGCAGCATAGCTTTTAACGATTGGTGCGACAGCATATGATTTGGTGATGATTGGAGTCGAATAGCTGACCAATGGAGCATATGGAACAGCAGCAGCGACGGCGATAAGGGCAGCGAAAGCGATCTATTTACAACAACAAATTCATTAATATTCAATCTCTCAACATTTGTCAAGAAAAAAAACTTACCAAGAATTTCATTTTGGCTAGTTTTGAGTTTGGTTTTGCTTTGGAACGAATTGTTCGAATTGTGGATTTGTTTGTTTCGTTTGATGGATCAATTCATTGCTAATGGTCGTGCTTTTATACGAAAAAATGGAATGATTCTCTCAGAATAGAAAATGAGCGGAATAACAGTGGATTGTAACAAAAGAAAGTCTATTCAAATAATTACAAAGGAGGTGGTCAAGCCAAACAAACGCACATTTACATCCTATACCTATTTCCAATGGAAATGTTTCATTTGTATCCTATTCATTTTCAATGTCTTAGTGAAAGAAATTAGCACTACTAGTAGACACCTGTATGCACAGGTGATGTTGTATAGGTCCAATATTTAATTCCTACTTGATTCATTTTCATTGAATTAATTCGATATTGCCAATCCATCCATGAATAATATTACTGGTCAAACAAACAAAATTATTGGTTTCACATTTCTCTCACATCATTTCTTCTAGTAAATGGCAAGTGACCAAGAAGCAACAAAAGTCGTAGTTATTTTTTTCAAATTTATCGCAGGCATCCTTGATGATCGTCACATTTCTCTTCAATGTCCATTTAGTATGTCAAAAAAAGTGAAACATGCACACAATGTCCATTCTGCAAGCTAAGTTGATTTCATTATTTTCTAATTTGATCCATTAATCAAAAATTCAAACTCTCTCTCTTTCTCTCACATTGATATGATAATTAGATGTTGACATTGCAATTCATTTTTAGAATAGTTTTTTTCTTCACCACCTTATTAGTTTTTTTAGATTAATGATTTTGATTATTGTCAATTCAATTGGATTGATATGGGGGAATTTTGACATGGAAATCTTTATTTTTCGTTGATAAATTTCTGGAATTTCCAGAAATTTGTTTTATTCCAATGAACAAAATAAAGTTTTTGTTTTAGATAAAAAAAGAAATTTATTTCAATCTTTTAATCAAATATTTGTTTTGGTTTCATTTCAGAGGCTTTTTTGTTGAAAAAGGAAGAGAACAAAATCATTTTTGAAAATGGATATTTTCTTCATTGAGGTCGTTTATGGCAGATTTTTGCTGTGTTGATTGTGTAGGGTGGTTTATGTTGGCTGATATACATGATCGATATCGATCATTGTTGGCCAAAATGATATTGGACCGTCATTGTCTAACCATAATGTCTTCTGCCATATCCTCCTCTATGATATCCACCACCATAACCATGTGATCGACGAATATAATGTCCACCGCCATAACCACCATGTCTACGATACCCTCGAATACCGCTTACAGTTGAAATGGCAACGAGCAAAGCAAACAAGAAGAACTGAAAACAAAAACAGACAAATTTTAATAATTTCATTTTCACAGACAAATTTCACTTACAAAGATTCGCATTTTGAATTGATTGAAAAAAGAAGTTTTTCCCAGGAAAAAATAAACAACGATTGGAAGATTAGTGTGTTGATTTTTGATCTGATTGATGATACTGATTTTGTATAGCATCGATATTGCTCTATTTATATATTCATCGATCGACCGTAAGCTAGCGATTCAACAAACACGCATAAGACAAGAAGGTTATCATTGAAAATTGGAAGATTCATTTTCTGGATTAATTACAAAAATAGAGTACTCAATTCAGTAATTCAATTTTCTTTTTCTTCAGGTATCAAACTAAATTAATTTGTTTACAACTTTTCAGGAAAACTCCTAAAGCGAATCATAAACAAGGATCCAAGTTTTTTTTATTGAAAAAACAACATTGAATCGATGTTTTTTATCAATCTGTTAATGATGATACGAATAATAATAATAATATGGAAATTTTTCCCAAAAATTATAGTGCAAAAATAAAGATGGCTATGAACTTGAAAGTTTTGTCTCATCACCATTATCATTATCATGTGAACAAATTGATTTTTTGAAAACAAAATATTTTATCAATCAAAGAAAATCTTCAATGAAACATATGGAAAGGGCAAAAAACTCTTGTTTCTTGATTGTAACACATCATCCAACAGATCATCAGACCATTGTTTTGAAGAATTCCAACAAAGACACCATTCAAGAGGGACAAAATGCTGTGCATCTTCATCTAACTTCCATGCAATTAGCCTGTTCAATGACTTGAATCACACAGATAGATAGAGGGATAGGATATCCTTCGTTTTGTTTTCGCATATTAGGAACGGTTTTGCCATGGGCAAGCAAACAACATTCATTCATTCATTCATTCAATCAATCCATAAATATGCATTGATAATTTAATAAATTGTTCTTGAATTTGAAATTTTGTTCAAGACACGTGAACATGATCATCATATGATCGATTTCGTTTGGCCATGCATGCACGCATCAATAATTGCTAATTGACTTAACTTTTTTTGTTTCAATAATAATTGACAGCATCAAATCTCTTTGTTGAAAATCAATGATCGTCTTCGATATTGATTGATTGATTAAACGGTTTAGTCGGTAATAAAAGGTAAATCTGATAAGTCCAATCAATTTTTTGAATTCATCAAGGTTATATGGTTATTTCTTGCTTATATTTTGATTGGAATAAAAAACACACATCATATCTTTGAATATTGATGTCATTGATTGATTGATGAGGAACGCATTTCGATTTTATCATTGGCTTTCTTCTAATCAACGACCTTCGGCAAACCAAATAGGCATATTTCGAAATGAAATTCTATTTTCATCATTTTACTAAAAGATTACTTTCATTCGATCGATGATAAAGATGGTCAATATCCTCAACAAAGAACTACCAAAAAAACCAATCAAATTTGATCCCCCAGGATTATAATTTCTTTTTGTTCATTGCTGTTGTTGCATAAATTCCTCAATTCAACAAAACAAACTGAAAAAATCATTATTATTTTGTGGAACAACAATGAAAATAAGAAATCAAATACAGATGTTTTTTGTCCCAAACAACAAAAATAAAACCATCATCATCATTCAAGGTGATATGGGGATTAACAACAACAAAAGTGTGTAGGTTTCTCACAACAAAATGGAACATTTCAAAGCATCTTAAGAAATGTGTGACATTGAAAATTATAATTTTTTTCAAAAAAAATTCAATTCAAATTTAGTATTGTTTATTTTTTGTGAAAAACTTTTTTCCTCTAAAACTATATTATAATGGATGATTATTCAACAATATTCATTTCAAAAAGGATTATTCAGTCAACGATATGATTGGGAAAAAATAAATCCAAGTAAAGGTCATTGATTAGAACAGGGGATTTCCTTAAATGTTTTGAAAAACTCATTTTCCATTTTCATTTTAGTAATGAAAAAACGGGAAATGAATTATTCTTGAAATAATGCCAGAAATATAAACTTTTGAGTTCAATGACATTTATCATTCAAATCCATTTGGTCAAAGTTGAAAATATTCACAACAAGTATGGACATTGTTTATTCAATGTTCAATGTTGAAACATTTGATCATCATAAATAAACATCTCTTTGCCACCATATGCCAACAACCAAACTGACTCTAAATATTCCATTATTAGCATCTAAAAATAAAGTAAAGTATTATTATCTGGTGGTGCTTTTATTTTTAGTTTTTTGAACATTTCACGATAGACAAGTGTGTATGTTTTACATCATTTTACATCATCATCATGGATTGCCGATTTGATGGCAACGATAACAACAACAGATTTTGGATGTTGTTAACCGTTAATATTTCTTCAATTAAGAATATTCTCGAATATTCTGCTGCTACGAATGAGTAATATAACCACTACTTGATTCTTGTTTTTCTTTTTATTCTTCGAAATTAATGTAATGATGTGATTTGTTAAATGAATTTTTTACATTCAGTGGCGATCATCATCATCATCAGCATATTTCCACAAAAAACTTAATTTTTTCCATCAACATCATCATCACTGCGTCACATCGAATTATTCAATCAAATTAACAAAAGAAAAAATGGCCGATGAAAATGATCAATCGAAATTTCGTTTACCCGGACTTTATGGCAATACGGATTTGAATTCACGCATCAACAAGTTCCAAGAACAGGCAGATAAACATAAAGAAAAACAAAAACTCAATCCATTTTCCGGCTCATTCGATGCTGTAGCATCAGCTAAACAAAAATTAAACAAAGAAGATTCAAAGTAAGTGTGTTCGCTTTCCATGACAAAAAACTGAGCGGAAAAATTCTTTTCACTAATTTTAGCTATGGAAAACCGGTAGAAGGTTCAAAAACTGAACAACGGGGCAAACAAGCATCACAATTGATTGCAAACGAAATAAAATTATTATTGGAAATCATACACAAACATGGCACTGTGAATGAAGAATCGAATAAAGTTGAAATCAAATTCAAAGAATTATTTGAATTATATAAAGTTATATCAAGCAAAGTTGTTGGCCTGTTATTACGTGCACGTAAACATGGTCTGGTACAATTCGAAGGTGAAATGCTTTATCAAGGTCGTGATGATAATGTCATCATCAACATGGATCCTACCGTCAAACTGGAAGATGTTCAGTTTGATTGATTCAAAAACAAAATTCAATTTTATTTTCATTTTTTATTATAATTTAAATATATTAATCAAATAAACCAGACAAAAAGATATTTTTGTTGCCAAATAAAATAAGTGTGAACAAAAAAAAGAAAAAGATCATGTGAAAAAACAGAATTTTGGTTCATTAAATCAAGACACCTATATAACAAGAGAGTGAATGATGTGTGTAATAATGGTAAAAATTGGAAATCAAAATTGAAAAAAAATGAAACGAGACCAATACGAGATTCAACATCTATCCATATCTATGCTGTTTAAACCACCATGAATAAATTGTTATTGTGTGAATATAATCAAAATATAGATAGTATCAAGTTTCATTTGTGTTCAAAACAATTCTGGAAATAGATCATGAAGTTGCGAATCGAATGTTATCATATCATTAATGGATGGTTGTAAGTTGTCTTCATCAATAAAATCAATTTCATCGGGGTAATTATCATTTTTAGTTGTTAGTGGAAATAAAACATTATCATTGTCATCTTGACCGATATTCAGGCTATCTAAATTCAATAAATCATCAGTTTCATCATCCATGCAAAATAGACTTAACGGTTGTTGTTGTTGAGTGATCAATTGTTGTACATTACTATCAATGCATGTTGGTTCAGGTGATGACATTGATTCATAACCAATATCACTGCTATCCGATGGTGGTGTAGGACTAAGCTGATTATGTTTGAAATTGATATCATCATTTTTTCGACCCATTGGATTGATGGCATAATCATGATCGATTACAATCAAATCGTTATCATGATTATAAACATTAGCTAAATCCGTAGCCGAACATGTTTGCGTTGATATCGTTTCATTAATGAATTCAATTGGCATTGTTTCGCCAGTTCCGATAAACATTGGCTCAATTCGAGATCCATTTCCTGCGGATAATTTTCGCTGTTCAATTTGATCTGACTCAATTGTTTCAATACCAAATTGATTATCGGTTCCATCACTGAACATGATCGATTGTTGTTGTTGTTGTTCGAGTTGAGGGAAATTGTCGTTAATAGAACCATTAAAAAGTTGGTCAACTGCTGTAGCGAGCAAGTCTTCGTTTGCGGATTCTTTGTTGAACGTTGCTTTTGCTGATGATTTGATTTTTCGGTTGATTTGTCGATAGTTTCTACCAACAGTTGTTGTTGAACATTTGCCATTTTTCCATCCTTTTCGGCCAATACTTGCACCTTCGGCAGAGGAACATTAATGAGTTCGGCAGACTCAAAAGCATTGGCAGTCGAGGTGGATGAATAGTTGTCCGTAGAACTTTGGTAACCATCTTCATCACTACCATCATCATCATAATCATCATCATCGTCATCATCATCCTCAAATACGTCATGACTATTGCTTTTATCATATGGATCATATAAATCCATAGTATCGTCACATTCCGGTTCCAATTTGATTGGTTCGATACCCAATTTTTGCCTTAGATTATCATTTTCTTCCATATAAAGTTTTAATTTCTGTTCCAAATAACGATTACGTTTCATTAGTTCCATACGTTCTTTAGCCAGACAATTATTTTCTTTTTCGAGATCCATCATTTTCTTTTTCTTTCGATCACGTGCACTTTGTGCGGCCATACGATTTTTTAATTTTCTATTACACAATCAATACAATTAATAACCAATTATAATATTAATGATAATAATGACTAATTACCTTCGCATCACTTTTTGTTCCTGTGTTAGATGATCTAAACGTTGACGTTTACGCTTCGGTTTGATTTGTTCGGTTATTGTGGATCCATCACCATCATTCTGTTGTTGGGTAATACTGTTGTTGTTTGATAAATATGGTGATCGTTTCTCACTACCGACACCATTATTGACAACCATCAACGAATCATTACCAATAATCATTTTCATTGGGTTTGATGATGATTTACATCCAAAATTACTGGACAAAATCACCTTATCAACTTGTTTGGGCAATATGGTTGCGGTCATCGTGGTAGAATTGCTTTTACTGAATGAGATTGAGATGTGTCTAATTTTGATCAATTCAAAATGTTGAAAGTATTAAAAATTAAAATAGTTGTTCAAGATATTTGGATGTTCATCGAATTGTGATTGAAAAGTCATTGTTTTCTTAATCCAATCAGGATCGAAGGTTTGTTTCCCTATAAATTCAACAGGAATAGAATTTAGAACAAATTCATTTTTCTAACAATCCATTTTCGATTCGAAAAAAACGGTACAAAATCAAAATTATGTGAATGTTTCAAATCAAATTAAAGAGTGCTAATGATGATGATGGCAGCACAAAAAACTTCCAACACATCAAAATGACAAAACAAACAAAAAATGCCAAATAATGAATGAGCAAGCAAAAAAAGTGAAAAAAATTAGAATTTACAACGCATTGCGTATGTGTATGGGAAAATGTTGGAAAAAAAGAAAATTCCAGATAACGCCACCACCATTTAAAAAGCCGGCGATGGCCATAACAACCAAAAGTAGTAGCATACATTTGTGTGCCCGTATCCTGAGACTATATTCGTATAAAGTTGTATTGTTTACGACAAGTGTACAAATAGCCAGCCTCGCCCATTTTTCGATACATTCCATTCTCTCTTTATCATCATGCTGATATAATAATCATAATTTCAATTGTATTATCCATCAATCAAACAAGGATAAGGATGACATGAAATGATCTTTTTAATGATAATAAACAATTCATTGTTGATAACAAACAAACAATAATATCAAGTTTGTCAGCAATTAATTAAATAAAAAAACATTTGTTTGAAAGGAAATGGAAGCCAAGTATTCACTGTGCGTGTGTGTCAGCTATATTACATCAGTTACGTATTACAGTTATAATAGTGCACACTCTCAATATCCAATGTGTGTGCACGGGCAACAGGCGTCACATAACTTCATTCACGATATACAATTATATGGCAGCAATCTAAGCTAAACATTTCATCAGAAATTTAACAAACCAACGAAATACAATTGACCCAACACATCACACAAATTGAATTGAAATAACAAACAAATTCTGAAAAAAGGACACGTCAGCCTTGGAAATGAATGAATAGATTCCATTTGTTTCTGACGTTGAATGATGAAATTATACACATAATTTCTGACTAAATTCTCAATCGATTCATCAACCAAGGACGCAAAAATCAAGGATACAGAAAAATATCGATATTTTTTCTTAAAAAAGTTAGAATAATTTCTTGTTAAATGTCTGATGAAATGTTCAACAATGATTAACAAAGATTTCTTCTTTTTTTATTGATATTTTCATTTGGAAATTCAAAATTTTTAACAGTTGAGTTACAAATTAGTAAATTGAAAATCTAAATTTAAACTATGACCTGATTGTTTGTTATGGGTATTACGAAGAATTAGTGTCAAGTGATGTTTCACAAACCAATAAACAAACACATAAACTGATTGTTTTGTTTATTCAATCCTTTTTTCAGATTAAATGATTTTGAATATATTACCCAAAAGACATAATAAAATCTTTCATGATTAAAGGATTGATATTCCACAAAAAAGATTGGTCGAGTGATTGACCGATTGATTGATTGGAGAATGTACCTAAATGAGCAATGATAAATATGTTTGGTGATTTTTGTTTGGCAGTATTGTTCACCAGAAAAAAACAGGCATAAATTTTGTGTTTGCACAAATCAAACAAAAAGAAAACCCGATATTAGCAAATAACCGGAATCTATACATAACCTGTCACTCTTTTTTTTGTTTGCTTTGTTTGGTTGTTTGATTGGCTTTGTTCACAATGATGATAATGTATCGGCGGTCAAATCATTTGTTCTCGAATCTTTGTTATGACCATCAAAAAAATTTTTTGTGCCAAAAAAATTCAATAATTGAAAATGATAAAATTTTTTCCACTATGTCTATGGGCTATTGTTCTAATCATATTAACATTGTTGATTTGGAACAATGTTAATGGACAATTATTTCGTCCAGGACAAGAACCACAAAATGGTATGATAATGTTTTTTTTGCAAGAATCAATACAAATCGAACTATAATCCTTATTCAAATCAATATTAGTGATAAATTCCTTATTAACACCGATCCTGTTACGAAGTGAATGTTCGGCAGCAGTCGATAATCGAATGGGACTTTGCATGCCAAAAAGTGCTTGTCTTAGGTTTGTGTGTTTGCAATATGACATTGTGCAAATCCCTTAATTGAATTGATCATTATAGTTCGGGTGGATATGTTGCTGGTACTTGTGGATATGGTGTTCTTTCATGCTGTGTTTGTAAGTAATATAATTTTGTCCTTTCAATTGGAAATGAATTTTTCCTTATTAATCGAGATCAAGGAACATGTAGAGCTGTAGTGACATCGAATGAAACATATTTTGTATCACCAAATTATCCAAACCTATTGACCGGACGTGTAGATCCACCAGTGTGTATATTTACATTACAACGTAATCCATTGATTATTAAATTTCCAGTCTGTCAAATTCGTATCGATTTCGATGAATTCAGCCTAGCTCCGCATTATAATGGTGCATGTGGTAATAGTATTACTGATTCATTTCAAGTTTCAGGTGCTTCCAACTTTAATCAATCCGGATTACCAATATCGGGCATATGCGGTGAAATGACTGGCCAGCATAGTAAGTGTTTGCAATGAATAATTCATTCAATTCATAATATTACTATCAACAGTCTATCTGGATGTTGATCCGGAAAAAACCGACGAACCATTATTGTTGATTGTCAATACGGCCAATCAACAAGAATATAATCGTAAATGGAGTATTCGTATACGACAGATTCCTTGCAAATCACAATATCGAGGTATTTCATTGTTATTATTATTTAATGATTTCAAATCCTCAAACATTTGTTTTCTCAATATTTGCTTTGATGAATAGCACCACCAGGATGTTTACAATATTATACAGCATTGAATGGAAATATCGAAAGTTTCAATTATCGTACAACAAATCTACCGGTAGTAACATCGACAACACCCGGATCAGTACAGCCAGTGGAAACGAGAATTGCAAATAATTATCTAAATAATTTGAATTATGGTGTTTGTATTGCAAAACATCCACGCATTTGTGCCATACGTTATTCGGCTATTGAATTTGATTTTGGTGGCAGTTTAGCTGATAGTTCAACACCTGGTGATCAATGCATATCGACAACAACATTAGCATCGGATGGAGATTTTCTTACTATACCATTAGGTACCGATCAATTAAAATCCAATTTGATTGATCGTTACTGTGGACAAAGATTTTCTCCAACACCAACTGCCGCATTAATTAATGCCGATGTTTATTGTAAGTTATTTTGTGTATTGAATATTGAATGAAAATTATTTGATGGTTTGTTGATTGTAGCTTATATAAATCCATATGTAATTTATGTACATACCGATAATAATCCAATTGCCGATGGTAATACTATTTCAAACCAAAAAGGATTTCTATTGAAATATATGCAAATACCATGTTGATTGCCTTTTTTTAGTCCAACCATAAATTAAAGCATTTGTTTATCTCAGATAATAATAATAAACTTAATTAAATTCTTGTCTGTCAATAAATTCTACTATATTTTTTCGTTTCTATGGCGACCGTGCTTTTTGTTGAGTTTTTCGAGTGAGAAAAAATTTCAACATTATATTGACGTTTGAAATAGTTTTGATTCAGATGTGGAGATAATAAAAACAATGTCCATCGATACATTTCCAATACTTTATTTTAATATGTCTGGTGAAATGATCTATATTATTGATCAACGTTTAGAAGCGCAAAAAATTGGTCAATCAAAAGCTAAACGTGTATTGAGTGATATTATTCTTTCCATATTCAATTCCAAACTGATCAATGAAGTATTCAAACCACATAATACCATTACATTCCATGTATTACGAACGATATTTGAAAAATTGGTTCATTCATCAATCATGCGTTTGAATGAACAAAGTATGAACAAATTATTCGATCTTATGATCATGGTTATCAAATATCAACTGTTTGCATGTCCAAAACCATCCGATATTATCACCGTAACCGATAATCATTTCATTTCCATTATTGAAATGCTCAAAAACAATGATAATGACGGTAATAATGGTGATGAGCAGCAAAACAAACCAGAAACGTCATGCAACAATATTGTTGAAATAGTAAATGTCGTTCGAAATCAATTTCTATTACATTATCAACAATATGATTTGCTAAGATTTCAGCAGATTCGTTATAATCTATTGAATTTTCTCAAAGATATTCGTACACGTGTATCGATATTTTTACGGGAAGGATTGCAAACGAATGATGGTATGTTTGTTATTCCATATCAAAATGTAATGGTCGAATGTGAATGTCAAATACCTGGTGTTGTAAGATATTTTCATGGTTCATATAATGAAATTATTCGTACAGAACATTTTGATGTTGGTGGTCATTACTTGGTTGATGATAGTCGTACAAAACTTGGATTAAATATGCAAGTATCAAATTTGACTTTTTGCCAATCTCATTCAATTCTATCATTTTAGATACAAAAAAGAAATCGAACCACCAAAACAAAATGTTTGCGAACAAAAATCCAATGACAACACGGCAATCATCGCTAATAATCGTAAAGAAATGGATCTATTGGCTAAACTCATCTGTAAAACCCCACAAGATGATCGTCGTGATTCTATAGTCGAACTGAAATTTGATTTTTTGTCTACCGAAACTGAAAATAATGATAAATTAACTTCCAAAACGATGTCGAATGATAAATCAATACAGATTATTGATACTAGTGATCATAATAATGAACAATTAATCCAAATAATTCACGATCTTCAAGAACTTTCCGTGGTAACAAATCAACAGAATACCAACCAGGCCAAACCAATCAATCATCAAACAAGTGGGGATGATTTAGATCTCCTTGAATTAATGGATTCCTAAATAAACGAGAAAAAACAATGTACAATCAGTAAAAAGTGCGAAACAAATTCATTTTGTCATCACAAACAAATAAATAAAAACGATAATAATTATCGTCTTGACTTGATTGATTTAATTTAGCGAAAACGTAACGTTAATGTTTTGCGAAATTTAATGAATAAATAAATTACAAACATTAACTGACTCTTTCGCTTTTTAATTTGACAATAAATGCTAATCCAACTTACCAAAAGAAACAATTCTTTCACCAATACATTTTGATTGAATCAATAAAAATGTGCATGTTGCCAAAATATCGAACGTGCACGCGGGTGAGTCGAACGAACAAAAGCATGGGATTCATTCATATAGAATGTAACGGAAATCTATTTGTTTTGGATATTATTTCGCAATTTTCCGAAATTTATTCATGTTTTAATTTATTGTGATATTAACAAAGACAAACAAATTGACAAAAAGGTTTTTGTGATTAATCTAATCACGAAATTTAGCTTTCAATGACGCTGGTAATGGAATTACATAGATAACCGTATTGATAAGATATGATCCAATGGCAAAAATGAAAATGAATGCGAAATTTTTCCAAAAAATCAGCGACCATTCAGGTATATCTTTGATATCTTTGAAACGTTGATCTAGATAATGATTACCTGAAAGAAACATACATTTTCCTGGCACAATATTAGCACTGCAAAGTTCAACCGTATTGTTGGTGGATACATGTGGTACACGTACAAGATCAGTATTGAATTGAAATTCCATAAAATTCAATGTCCATCCAGCCCAATAATAAATATTAAACCAATTGATATAATAGTAGATATTCGGTGATGCTAACATTGATCGTAGTGTTGTACTGCCGATAATCAACCACGGTGTAAGCAGATAACATGATGTTAATGAAGCTTTGAATGGTGATTTTACAAAACACATTATGGCTATGGTAAATTGTTCGACAAATGTATAAACACCCCAAAGTACTGAACAAAAAATGATCCATCGCTCCAACCAATAACCATCAATACGAAATGGTGTTGTCCAATAGGTAATGCTACCGGCAATGAATATATTCAACATGGTCAATGGCATATTTGCTATTATATTGGTCACGATTAATGATGGTCCACGATATATCGATAGACGAGATGAATCTTCATAGAAACGATTTCGATGTTGAGAAACTGTAACAGAACGAAAACAGTTGGTTGTTATTATTACCAAATGGCTATAGTGACTTACAATAATATGATGTGATAATCGGTGTCATCATTGTGATTGCGGCCATCAAATTGAAAATGATAAAACTTCGTGTTTGAAATGAATTCTGTGTTTCATCCAACGATGGTAGAATGAATGTATACATCAATATGCAAAACAATGGTATCAGACCCAATTTCAGAAACAAGCGTTTCATAATTAGATTCGCACAAAATTGTCGGGCAATCAATGTGGATATAACATTCCAAGCGGATGCCTTCCCATAAGCGGTCAATGGAATACTCAGTGCATTCATCTTTGAATATGGTGTATTATATTTACGATAATCATGGCCATCGATTTTGAATTTATCTACCAATGCTGCTATCTGTGCCGAAGATTCAATGAATCGTTCTCTGGATCGTCGATCAACTGTCGACAGACATACTATGGGAGGAAATGGGGAAAAATGTTTTTCATCGTCATGTTGCAGGTAATTGTGAAATAAACATACAGTAATACATTAATGGATTCTCCAATTCTGGACAGGGAAAACCAATATTACTAAAATAATCCATCATCATTCGTGTGCTACCAGTATAGACAATATCACCTAAACATAAAAATGTAACACGATCGATGAATGGAAATATATCCGAACGTGGTCTATCGATTGTGAAGACAATAATTCGTTGATATTTACGGCAATGATTCGATAACATGGATATTATGAAATATGAATCCAATGGACTAAGATCGCTGGTAGGATTATCCAGTACCATTAATAATGGATCTCGTATCGAATGCATAGCTATGGTTAATCGTCTTCGTTCAGCTTCATTCAATTCGCTCACATCATAATCGGCTAAACTTGATAATGCTGTATCGGCCATCACTTGTTTTACACGGAATCGAATTGTCATATATGATCCATCCGGTAAACGTCTGGGTATCGGCTGTCGGATTGTCATTCTTGCCATATATGTTAATGTTTGACGAACAGATAATCCTTCAATTAGTTCGGTTCTGCGTGAAACGAATCCGCATTGTTCCTGGAACACTCTTAGCGTTAATGGTACATCATTAAGAAGAATCTGTCCACGTGTACTACTACTTTGTTGATTGATACGATGACTAATTAATTCTAATAGGGCTTTCTTTCCCGATCCTTTGCTGCCCAGAATGGCCATCATTTCGCCCGAATGAACCTAAGTTTTGAAATAATTATTCACCAATCACCAATTATGATTATGATTACTAACCTCAAACGAGACATCTTTAAGTATGAGACCAGATGGTGGATAATTGGTCCACTTATTTAATAATGAAAGTCGATTCGGTGTAATCGGTCCAGAATGACAAACACCAACCAATTCCAGAACATGTGGCATGGTAATGGTTTCATTGGTTTCAGCTGGTGATATATTTCTTAAATCATAATTCATCATGATGATGATCAATGATTGATTGAACAAAATGAAATTCAATTTAATTATCCTAATAATAATGATGATGATAATGATTGGCTGTCGATCACAATCGAATTTTCAATCGAATCAAATCATAAAAACAAAACATAAATTAAACATCTGCCTTTTCTTCGGAAAAAACAATTGTTTCGGGCGCCATTGCCTATGCAAACACCTGACGATTATGGTTGTCGTTATCGTTATGTTGTATTGTGAATTGATGAAGAAAACAAACTAAACATAATATGATGAATTTTGTTTTCTTTCCAAAAGTTTTCTCTCATCTCTGTCTCATCTGAATAATTTTTACCTGTTTCTCTTCGAATGAGAATTGTTATTGTTGTTTTGTTTTGTTTTTTTAAAGAGACGTTCGTAACATCATTGTGTGTTTGTGCAAAGATTGTGAATTGTTGATGCTTAAAAACTCATTCATATTCTCTCTCTCTCTCTCTCTCTCTTTCAAAGTGACTATTATAATGACAGCCTTTTAAAAAACAAGAAGATTTTTAGACAATTGAAATCTTGAAACAACAGATCGTACGTATAGCATTTGTTTGTCCGCTAAAATTGAGCAGAAAAATACCCGAAACACTTCTTTTTTTGTTGGTTACCGTTTAACATCAATATGAAATAAGTAACCACCACCACCACCACCATCCAACATTAAACATCATCAACAAGTTCGGGCAACAAAACTCTCAAAAAACCGGCTTTTCCGCACACTAAACAACAACAACAACAACAACAAGTTGTTCAATAACGAACAACAACAACAATTTAATGTCGACAATCGACATTTTTCCTTCATTTTCGGATCTATTTTGTTTTATTCATTCGTTGGTTCATTGGTTATGATCAAAACAGCCCAAAAACAAAACAATATTCAGACAGAAATCTGCTAAATTCAATTGAATATTAATGTTTTTTTTGTGTATTGTTTTTTACATTTTAGGATGCTAAACTGTGATTATTGTTCATGTGTGTGATGCTAAAATTGTTACCGATTATTTTCTCATTTTTTTGCCATTTAAATTCAATTTGCCCATCTTGTTTTTGTTTTTCGTCTCGATTGTCTTCAAGAATTATCATTCCAGTGACTAGCTTGTGAAGAATTTGATTGTTTATTCACTTTACTGACATTATCAAAAAGCTCGAAAACTTTTCTTTTGTTTGAAATTGTCTAAATGCGATCAATGATGTTGATTTTTAAGTAAGTCCTTTTTAAATTCTTTTTTATCATTTTCTTTGTATCGAACATTCATTTTCAATAATCGATTTCTAGGATAAGTTTGAAAAAGTTTGCCAAAAATGCCACAAAATCTCTAGATTCATATTGGATATTTGATAATCATCTTTTCTACATTATTTTCCTTTGTTATCTTTCTTTAATTATTATTTATCTTTTATCTTTTATTATTACTATTATTTATATTTGTTGTTGACCAATAATGAGGACAATGATGATGAGATATATAATGTGAGCGAAAGTAATCTTTACTGTAGTGACCGAGATTGAATCCTTTGAAATTTCTCTATTTCTCATAATCAGTCAGGATATAATCTTAATAATTTTTTCAATTTCTAATAACCATTTTGTGAATGTAGTGCAATTATTATAATGATTGATAATAGTCTACTTTTCGCAAGTTAAATTCGACTTTACCAACATTTCAATATGGTAATTAATAACTACATTTTGAAAAATACTAGTAAAAATCACAATTATAGTAATGGTCATAGTCATCAACCTAACCTCACTCAACTATGAATCACAGTCATAGGCATGGTCATAGTCAGTAACCTAACCACACTCAACTATGAATCACAGTCATAGGCATGGTCACGATGACTAACCTAACCTCACTCAACTATGAATCACAGTCATAGGCATGGTCATAGTCAGTAACCTAACCTCACTCAACTATGAATCACAGTCATAGGCATGATCATAGTCAGTAACCTAACCTCACCGAACTATAAATCATGGCTTTAGTAAAACGTGCGTATGCAACTAACTTGTTTGAAAATAATGAATATTCATTCATGATTGGATATATGATTAACAGTTATGATGAAACACATATTTAATAGTTCATTTGTTTTTGTTTTCATAGGGATTCATCCATTTGTTCCATTTGATGATGATAATTTGATTGATCAATATGATATTTGCGCCATATGACCAATGAATCAAAATGGAAATTATAGAAAATTTCTTTCTTTCTTTTTGAACAAGATTTTCGTGTTTATCATTTTCGTTGATTATCATTACATTTCCCATTTCTTATTAGCTAGTTGTCGAATATCATTCATTACATTCAGCAAACAAACAAACAAACAAATCAAATCCAAACTAATTGTCTCAGTAGTTGTTGGATTTTCATTTTTGATTCGACATTCTTTCCATCATGACTATGATGATGAATCAAACAGAGTTCGGGTCATATAATTTTCTGACAGGCGATTGTTTGTTTGTTTGTTTCTTATGCTTGATTTCGATTGAAACGAAACAAAATGAATTGAATATCCATGATGTCCGATTTTATTGTCGATTTGTTTAGTTTAGTTTAGTTAAGGCTTTGTGTGAATCGAATCGGACAATTTCTTGTTATTTTGTTTCTGAAGTGAATTTTTCTTTTATTATCCATGTTAATGATGACCTGATGATGTTGATGATGATGAAACAAATTTTTGTTTGATTGGAAAAATTGATTAACATAATGTTGTTGTGTCTGTCTTGATTTTGATTTTTGAAAAAGAAATTGAAAATGTAATTTTTGAACAAGTGTAGTGTGTAAGATATGGCATGAGATGGAAAAGGAATTGATTCAGTTTGCTTGATTAGTGATGCTATAGTGATGGTGGATGGCCAATCAAATAAATCATTGATTCATTGTTCATTTTGACTGACTGGATATAATAATGATCATTATTAGTAAAGAATGTTACAATCAGACAGACAGAACAAAACAAACATTTCAAAAACACATTCTATTTGTTATCTACTTTATTTATCTTTTTTCTGTTTGTTTTTTGATTTTTATGGATAATTTCATACAATATCATTTCACTATAGATGACAATGACCATTGGTCATTCAATGGATATACATTGTCTTTAAAATGGATCAAGTTCATAATAATTCGGAAGCGCGCACACACAATTGTGCTTGCTTCTATTGTTTTGTTTTTGTTTGAAAAAATTTCATTAGCATTTTCTCTTCGAAAATGCATTTGGAGCCACTCTATGTTTGACCGGCGGCCTTCATTCCATATCATCATCATCAATGTGTGTTGATAATGGTGAATTTTACAATTACGATTATATTGTCATTGTGTGTGTCTTGTGCAGAGAGATAATGTCAAACAAAAAATATATTTTTCCATATTCATAAATGATAATCATTCATTATCATCATTTGACAATGTCAATTCTTTCCACCAAGAAGAAAATTGAATTGGAAATATAATCCTTTCAGGATTTTTGTTTTGTTGTTTTTTTAATTCAAACATCCTTAATGGATTTTTTGTTCAGTAAAATAATCCATCTTTCAAATATTCAGTGTTAAATATTGAATAATGGATGATGATCATCATCATCAAAAAATGTTAAGTATTTTTGGTTTCAAAATTTCAAAACTAAACTATAGAAAGAAATGGGCAAGGAAAATTTTTTTGTTCTGTGTATTAACTCTATTTACACACATCATCATTATATATTTAGATAGAGAGAGAATGTGATTATGATCTAGGACAGGTGATGTTTTTCTGAATGCAATGAATCAATGAAAAACGAGAACAACAATTCACATCCAATATATAAATGCATCAACAAAATCACCATTTTAACTACCTGAAGGCCTACTTGAATTTCAACGCGACAATATTATTTGAAGAAAAAAAGAGAATCAAGTGATGTGATGATGATGATGGTCATCAACGATAATTATATTTAATTTTAATTTTGTTCAACAATAACCACAATCATCATAGGACATGTGGATGTTTTTTTGGTTTATGATTAATAATTATACAGCATAAACACAATGCTTGTCATATTGTCATTTTGTGTGACCATGTCATTTTATTTGATGTGTGTCTGGATGAACATCCAACATGATGATGGTATATTTATTTATGATCATTCCATGTCAATTTGAATTTTGTTTTTGGGATAATTATCACTTCGAAACATTGTTTTGACATTCTTCTGGGAAAAAGATTTTGTCATTTTTTCCGTCATGATTGTTGAGAGGAAAAGCAATCTGTTCAAATATACATTTTTCTTTACTAAAAATAACTTTTGTTGATATTTTAAAAATAAAGTTGTTTGATCCAATCCGGATAGAATGGATGTATGCTATTATTCAGATATTCATTTCGATTGTCTAATGATCAGGCCAACTAAATGTTTCGATTCTCATTTCTGTGGCAAAATAAAGTTTCGTGCTAAATTGAATTTTGGATCAAAAACATTGTAATGCTTGACACGTTGATGATTGAAACACGAAACGGAAACAAGCAAATGACAAAAATAATTTATCAAAATTTTAGTCATGTTTCACCAAAAATATCTAGACATCTTTGATTAGTGTGAGGTAAAAATAGTTTTTCCCCTAATGAAAATTGAAAAATTAATTCATGGCTGGGCGTTACACAGGTGTCAGATTTGTTAAAATTGTTGAGTGGGTGGATTGTTACAATAATGTTTTTTGTTTAAGTTTGTTTGCGTGGGAGTCATTCATTGCTATTAATTAGTGATACAGTGATATTCAAATTTAGAAAAAAAACTTTATAATGATGTTGTCGAAATAGAAAACGAAATTTTTACGAAAATTGAATTATTCATTTTGGATGATGTTCAAAAAAAATTGAAACGCCCAAAAAATTTTTCGCAAATGGATCAGGATGATGGAAATCGTGATTTTTTTTGAAAAAGAAAAACATTTTTCTTTTTAAATGATGATGAAAATCAGTTTGCATAATCGAATCATAATCGAAAGTTTTTTTTGTTGAAGTTTGAATGGATTCAACAAACAAACAAAAAACATCATTTTGGATCGTTCGTTTGCTTGTTTGAATTAATGCACACAAAAAAAACTGTTCGTTATTTTAGGATTATCGATGTGCGTTTTCTTCCCTCCCCATCACTTTTTTGGAACGATGATCAAGATTGACCTAATCAGATGTTTGTTGATTTTGTCGATAGAAAAAATAAAATCCTGATATGATCTGTTCAAATCATCTTCTTTTATTTCATTTAAGAAAATATGCCTTATGTTGTTGATCGATTATCGAAAATTTGTTTCTAATCGATTTGCAATGATCGTTTTTTACGTCATTGTTTGCCAATCATTTTTGGATAGAAATTCGCAAAGATATTGTGTTGCTTTTTCCATCGATAGTGTTTCGTTTTTTGACATGAAAAGATAATAAAAACTTTTCTTCAATAAGAAAAGGTTTCATCATTTTTAAACTTTTTCCATTCATTCAATATTCCAAGCTTGTCAAGATGCCTTGTTTTTTCCTTGTTTTCTGTTTGTTTGTTGACAATTTGATTTGAATGAAAGTAAATTTCGGGTTACATTTTATTACCATTTCTCTCTCTCCTTGTTTATTTTCTCTCAATATTATCAATATTGCCAAAAAATCATCAAAAAATCCAAAAGAAGAGATATATCACATGGATCCATAATACAGTGCATAAAAGAGAACAATTCATTTATAATTGTTGTTCAAGTGAATCAAATAAATTTTCATTATATCTTTTTTTTCATTAATATTAGATAAAACATGCTAAATGGTCAACATCAGCCATATAATTTCCATTCAACAAAAACACTGTTTTCATCGCCTACAACAACAACGGTAGCATCATCATCATCAAAAACATCCACATCAACATTAACATTATCCAGTAATGGAAAAGTCGAACATGCTCAACATTTTCATGAATGGTCATTATATCGACAGAATTTGAATGATAATTTTAGTGAATCAGTATTACATCAGCAACCAAACAAACAATTCAAAATGAATAGTGTTGCACAAACATTTTCCACATCATCACCACATAACAAACAACATTCCAATCATAACCATAGTAATCATGCATTTCCATTACGTGAATCAACTGTCAACAATATTCTAAGTCATCCTAAATATGGTGCTAATCAATTCAAAAATCAGGATGCATTTACTTATCTTAGATTTGGTTTACCCAGAGTCAAAACAACAACAACAAACAATAATGATAATAATGGCAATGATGAACAGCGCCAATCATCAAAAAATCCAGCAATCAATATGGTTGATAATCAAAATTCTTCATCCGATGCCATGATAATGAAATCGGCAACGAATCGAATGCCAATGCCAATCAAATCCATCAATAATAATAATAATGATCGATCAGGTTCGGCGGCCATCAATGAGGAATTGAAACGTCGTTTTTGGGGCTCAACCGATTCGGCATTAATTCATCCACCGGCATCATTGTCCGATGTAGATGAATCCGATCGTTCATCCACAAAAGAACCCGTAACGAATCCGAAAAATTATTTCAACAACAATAATAATAATAATAATAATAATAATAATAATAATAGTAGATATAATCATCAACAGGATCGATTTTTGAAAACACCGATGATTACCAAACCAATTACAATGCGATCAACAACACATCATTCACATCATCCAAATCATCCACAAACACCTCATAAAGATTATAATTCAGATTCAGTTGAAGATTTTCATATTGATCATCATCATCATCATCCGACAACCACATCACGACATTCACCATTCGATGATGATATTGATGATGTGAATGGACATAATGAACCGTTCAGTTTGAATCATCATCCACCACAACCACTATCATCATCATCATCATCAGCATCACCATCATTGCCACCGCCATTGGCTAAACATCCACATTTAGTTGTTAAAGATTTAATGTATGAAGTGGATAAATCATCAAATTGGCGAAGACTTTGTGGTTTTAGTCGGCAAAAATTACGTATTCTTGAGGATATTAGTTTTGATGTTCGCGGTGGGGAATTAATGGCCATTTTAGCGTCATCAGCCAACGAAGGTCAAGCATTATTGGATGTATTAAGTTCACGTCATGATCATCGTAACGGTACAGCGCGTGCTGAAATCTATCTGAACGGTGTATTAATATCGACCAAACATTTAAGCAATATGATTGCATATGTAACAAATGATATGCATCTATGTTCCACAATGTCAACAAGACAAGCATTATTGTTTGCCGGCCTATTAATTGGACCGGCATCAAGAAGTTCCACCGATGTGAAACGTTTGACAAGAACATTATTGGAAGAGCTTAATTTGGGTGAAGTTCGTCACACAAAACTATCGGAATTAACTTATTCCGAACGACGACGTTTACATGTTGCAATGCATCTTTTACTTGACACTGAATTATTGTTGATTGATCAGCCGCTTTTCGGTCTAGATATATTTGATTCCTTTTTTATGATTGAATATCTTCGACAATGGGCAATGATTGGCGGCCGAATTGTCATAATGACATTATCACCACCAACATATGAAGTGTTCACAATGATACATCGTGTATTGTTGATTTCCACTGGACGACCGTTATTTGTTGGACCGAGGAAAGATTTTCTTCGTTATTTCAATTCGATTGGTTATCCGTGTCCATCGTTTAAAAATCCAAGTGATTATTATCTTGATCTTGTCACCATAGACGATTTAAGTGAAGAAGCATTGTTAGAATCACGTCAACGTATTGAAAATATTGCCGACATTCATAGCCGTCGATCAATGACAGAAATTTTTAGTTCAATGCCCGGACCACCAGCCGTATTACCGGCTCCATTTCGACGAGCCAATTTTGCTATGCAATTTTTGGCACTTTGGATGTAAGTGATCAACATTCAATATCAATTTTATTTTCATTCAAAATATATTTTATTCTCTTTTTTTAAAACAAGACGTGCATTAATATTTAGCTTTCCATACAATGTTGTTGATTTATTCAATCGTTTTATAATAACATTGATATCATCATTGATTATTGGTGCTATTTATTGGCAAATTCGTACTGGTCGTGAACAAGAATTTGTATGGGATCGTATTGGCTTTATTAATACAATGATTTCCATCGGAATCATTCCAATATTGATGATCGAATTCATCAATGGTAAGTTTTTTGTTGTGTTGTGCAACCAGCAATCCAAATAGCAAATCATATCTATCATTTGTTGAATATAGCTTACACGGAAAAATTGTACATAATATCCGAAATCAATCAAAGATTTTATTCACTGCCTGCTTATTTATTGGCCAAATTACTTTATTCAGCGCCGCAAACAATTTTGATCGGTCTTGCATATGCATTACCGGCTTGTTCAATGGCCGGTCTGCAATTACATTCGAATCCGAATTCGCTACCATTATATTTATTATTGATGTTGTCATATTTTATAGCATTACGTTCGTTTATTATTGCTATCGTGTGGATATGTAATCGTCGTTCAAATGCTTTGTTTCTGTTTGGATTTTTATTCACTCTTTTCCTATTATCATCCGGCATCAACATTCAATATCGAAACATATCAATCACGCATCGTTGGCTACGTCAAGTATCACCGATTCGATGGTTACATGAAGCAATTGTTGCATGGGAATTCGAACCAAATACCATCATTACGGCCAATTCGATAGATAATAATGGTGTTTTGAGCAGTAGCAGTAGCAATAGTATTATGTCATCATTCTTATGCAGTAGAAATCCTGTGATTCAACAACCAAATGCCATATTGGTTCGTGCTGATTGTGGTTTTCAAACACGATCCAACATACTCAAATGGTTCGAATATCAAGGTAATATAATCAATAATTTTATCCATTATATTCAATCAATCAATCAATAATAATCTTTTGACACCTTTTCCCTATTATTATTATTATTATCATTAATCAGGAGGAAATATCTTTCAATCCAATCTCCGACCTAGTTGGCATGCATTTATCGCTTTATTCATATTATTTATCGGTTCATTTATAATCGGTTCAATCATATTTTGTTTACGTGTTTATTATTTCGATAGTGATTATCATCAATGTTCAATCAAAAAACATCAAGATCACCATCATTTGCCACAATCGACAGCCAGGCATCGCAATATTCGATGATAATCATCATCTTTACCAACCATCCATACAATTGAAATATATTTTTGTGTATATTATTTTTTTCTTTCTCTCACACTCGTCTACGTCACATTTTGTGTATTCAATAAACAAATTTTCTATTTCCGGCCGGTATTGACCGGTCACGATTTTTTTGTATATCATTTTCTTTTTAGAACAATTTTTTTCCTAGTTTGTTTGTTTGTTTGCCTACCAAATATAACTGATCGATTATTAATATCGATAATGATTATTTTAATAAAACGTTTGAATTTTTCTCGAAGAAAATCGTGTTTAATATCAAAATAGATTATGATCGAAGTAAATTGAAGGTGTTTTCGCACTTTTTTTGCTATAGTTTGAGTTTGTGTCATTGTCCTACCGGCCTTTTATTGTTCGATTATGGTGTTTGTCGATAGTTGGATATTTCTATTACTGTGATAATGATCATAAGTGTTTGATTTTGCTTCAATCTGATCCGGTTTATATAACGATGTGAATCAGCAGAAAAAATTGGGAAATTAAGATTCATTTTTTATTTTGATATGTAATGGTGTTGTTTCCGATTATTATAGTATCTATTTGATTGATTGATTGATAATTTAGATAATTATATATGAATGATAACAATGTTCAATTTTTCACTACCGATATTTTTCTCTCACTCTCTGATCATGGATTTGATGGATTCAATCATCAAATTATCTTTCAGGTGTGTTTTTCTTTCAACAATGGTGACATGATGATAACTGATCAAAAAATGAAATGAAATGAAAAAATAATCATTAAGATTAATGAATTTATTTTCTTCACAATCGATTGTCGTGATTCGATTATCATTATAAGGATGATTGTTTTTGTTTATGAACATAACATTTTATTTATTATTATTATTATTTCGTTCATCATCATCATGATGGCCTGATTCTTATTTTTTGAATCAAATTTTCCTTTTACGCGTGAACATTTTCATGTACTGAAAGCATGTTTCAAATTTGAATTGTTTGGTTTGTAATACATTGTTTTCATTTCAACATTCAGATTCATCGTCATTACTTTATACCTTAAAGGCTATTTTCATTGAATAATAATTATTATTAATGTAATTATTGTTACTGTTATTATCACTGATCTAATTCTGACGATAATGATGATTAATTCATTTTTAAAAAAAGTATTGAATTAGTTTGATTGGCAATTGTTTTTATTTAATCCATTTAAATTAATGTTTGCATGATTTTTCTACATTGTTTATGGGGGGATATTGACAAATTGACAATACCTGACTATTGTGTGTGTGAGAACATGATTTAATTGTTAATAATCAAATTATATGATTAGAATTGTGTTTGTTTTGATGAATTTTCACCACGAATAATCGACATCAAGTTCACAATGTTCATCTGATTTAACATGGCAATCCTGATTGTTGATAGCACAAACACCTTCCAATGTAAATACTGGTCCACGTCCACATGAATTATATGCCCATCCATTAAAACAATAACGTTTACCCGGTATCAGATTGTTCATTATAATCCGTTCATCTGATTTGATCATTACAGACTCAATTATATTATTATCACAATTATTATTATTATTACTAACTTGAACGAAATTTCTTAACAATTCCATAGCCAATAAGCCATAGCTGATATCCAATAACATCATTATCATTGCAATTGATGGTGCCCCAATAATCAATCGAATGATTATAGCCATATTGATTGGTTGGATAACGAATTTTCAATTCAATTCTTGTACATTGGGCATATTCCACTGTTGCATATGGTTTACATCGTGGTGGTGCTGAATGATAACAATTGGCACGATATTGTATTTTCTTGCTGCCAGGTATCTTTCGAGAAATTTCTCTTACAGCTAAGGACAGGAAGTGTGGAAATGAAATATGAGAATCGATCAATCAATAAACAAATTACCTCGTTTGTTGCTTCTATGAACAATTGAAAATTGATCCACATAAAGTTTGAATATTTTTCTTTCCAACAAGATTGAATTTGTTTGTTGTTGTTGTCGAATCTCACAACGATAAATAATGGTGGAAATATGATTCTCATTCACAATCAAATATCGATCACCATTGAAACAAGTTTGATGATTCACTATGTTTGACTTATTCTTTTGTTGTTGATTGTCCACTGCTATTTTCTCATTGACCTTTTTGTTTGTCGTATGATGAATTTGATTGAATAATAATGATTGATTACTTTGTATTGACCAATCATTTGTTAGTTCGTATCGACACCAAATATATTGATATGATAATGATCCATCTTCATCATCATTATGATTACATTCAAGTAGAACATTTTCCTCAACATTAACAACTAAATCCATTACATTTGATGATGATCCATTCGAATGATTATGATGATGATGATTATATTTACTGGATGATATTTCGTTTGTAATTATGAATGTTGGATAATTGAACAATAATAATAGAATAATGATGATTTTAATTTTGATTTTAAAAATTGAATGCAATCTACAGTGATTAGATTGCCTCCAGATGATTGATAAATTTTGATTAAACAGTAGTAAACATTGTATAATGATGATGATGATAAATTTTTTCTTTTCATCATCCGAATTATTATTTTCTTTCAAGATTTTTGCAATAAAAGACATCGGTGATGATGATGATGATAGAAAAACATAATGATGATTATGACATGATGAAGATGAAATGATTGACTTTAAATGACATCGTTTATGATGATTATGATGATAGTTGTTGGCTTTTGTTATTATGTCTGCTGTTGTCATTGTTTGTTTGACATTTGATTAGGGATAAATTTAGAATGATGTCTATTAAAACTTGGTTATGTTGAAAAGATTGATTGATTCACTTTTCACACCGGTTGTTAATAATGTAATTATATGAATTTTATTTCATTTTTTACGGTTTGCTCAGAAAAACTCAAAGACTTAAGGCAATCATCAACCACTTGTTGCATGATCATCATCATAACCAGAACTTGCCACAATGTAAATTTCAAATGTCACATCATGATGAAAAAAAATCCTTGTTCTCATTTTTTTATTTCAGCAAAATAAAATTGTTACATTGAATTTTGTGGAAACATGACGTTTAACGAGATGTGAAATGTTTGATTTGTATCGAATTATATAATGATGCTGATCATTTTTACTCACATCTTATCTGTTCCGGTTTCAATTATTATTGGTTTGTTTACGTTTATATAGGTTAACTTAGCTTTTTTGTTGATAACCACTTTCAATTTTCATCGATAATCGATTGATTATTGTATTGATAATGATGATTTATTCGTGACAAGATTAATCATGAGAGAATCTTTTTTTCGAATGATTATGAAAGTATAACATGGGAATCAAAATATTGTCAGCTTTTTTGCTCATACGTAATGTATAGATGATTGTGTGGATATAGCCAAGAAATTTATAAATTATTTTCTTGAGTTTCGGATTTGTAAAAATCTTCAGGATGATGATGGTTAACTGATAACTAATTTAGTAAAAGTCACACAGTTTTTTTTCATTGATTGATATTTTAGACCGAATCGATTCAATTAACATTGCCCAAAAGCAAACAAACATAAACATCAAAACAAAACAAACTATGGTTCACACTGAATGAGTCTAAAAAATGGGCAGAGTTTAATGAATAATTTTGTTTTCTTTTTTGATTATCAACCAACAACAAGATGATGTGGCCAATTTTTGAAGAAGAAGAAAAAGATATGAAAATTCGAAGATTCACTGGAAATTATCATAATGATCAACAAAACCACCCAACATGATGGAATTTATTATCATCACATCACATTGATTCATTCATTTTTTTCATCATCATAAATCAACTAAATTGGTCAAAAGCAATCTAACCTGACCAGTGTTTTTCACAAAAAAAGTTGTTTTATTTTGGAAAATGTATTCAAGAGGGTATTCTCTCTCTTTCCAACATTGGTTGGTCTTTTTGCTTGATTGATTTTGTTTTGCATTCAAGATGAATTTCTACGAAAATCACTAAGAATGATAGAAAGAATTCACCACTATGCAAAAACATGAACTGAACAATGGAAATAAAAATTTCAAGTTTTTTATCCAAAAAAAGATGCTTGTGAATAAATTTCTGTTTTTTCTTCTTTTTCAAGAAATGAATAAACAAAACACCAATTAACTTTGAATTTTTTTCAGTTTCCAGATTTCAAGTGATTTATCGATTGGATTGTCTGATCAAATTAATTATAACAAAATAAATTGAAAAATTAAACAAACAACATCATCGCATTTTGAATATGAATGAATGGAATATCATTTTGTTTATTTATTTTAAAAATTTCAATTCACAAAAGTAATCAATTTCAAATGGTAAGAATAATCGATTATTTCTGTTACTGGTTGGTTTGTTTCATTGTATTCTGATTAGTAGTGGCGGTGGCCTTCATATCGATCATCGATAATGATGAGTTCATTTGATGATCATCATTCAGAATGATTGCTGCTTGTTGATCGATTAATTGATTATCATTGCGTTTGTCATCTTTTTCCGATCTGATGATTTTATTTGATGATAGTGATGATAGTCGAGGTGTTGGTGAAGGATGAATTGATTGGGAACGTTGTCTATTATTATTGTTGATAATTCTTTTACCATCATTATCGATTAATTGTTTGGTCATCGAATTGATTATAACCGGCAATCTTATGTCCAATATTGATCCTTTATCCGATATAATCTATATAATGGAGTGAGGAATTTTGTTAGAAACCATTATTACACACAAAACAAAACATAACATACATTGGCATTCATTGCGTAAAGTTTATTGGTTATATCACGACCAATTAAAATGTTTAGAATTTTATTCATTTGTTTGTCTTTGGCCAGATAGTATTCTAATTGTATTCGATTCCAACAAAGTATACGACATTGTGTGATGGCAATCAATGAAACATTAAAACGATTATCATCAATTATTGATCGATGAGAACTTTCTTCCTCATTATTATCGGTTGTTGTTGATGATGTTGATGTTTTTTCATTGATTTTATTTGAATGATGAATCTCCTTTGATTTGACTAACATTGATGATGATGATAATGATTTTATTGTATTCGAATGACAACAACAGCTTTCCCATTCGGGTGAATCCAAAAATTCACCCGGTTTTATTGAATGAAGAAAATGATTTTTCGATAATACATTGATCCTGTTCAACAACAACAAAAATTAATAAATTTTTCCCCAATAGATTTTTTTTTACTTACTTTCCGGATATAAGTAATGATAAACGATTATTGGCCGTTATTTTTTCGGTTGCATATGATTCACCGGAATGTAATGTAATTAATTTACCTTGATGAATTAATCTTTTAAATGATTCACGACTAATGCCAACAATGGCAAACAGTTCATTATATGTTTCTTCCAATTCTTTATTGAATTTAATATATCTTGTTTGATATAATTCATTGGCAATTCGCAAAATATTCACACACAAAAATGTTATCGACCATCCTAATAGGCTAGGAACGGTGATGAAACATATTTTGGAAATCCATATGATTAACAATAAATTAGATATGGCCAAAATAAAATGAATAAACAGTAGACAATATTTTCCATTGGGCACTAGATATACAATCAATAAACTAATATATGCCAATTGATATAGAATCGATGTTGCATCATCTGACCAACAATTCACATTCACTGTATTATTGGTCACTGTATGATTGTTATTCGTTATATTCACCATTGGCATTGATGATAATGGTTCATCAACAAATATTGTGCTGTTTTTATTCAATAATAATGATGATAATCTTCTTTTAGCAATATCCGACGATGATTCTGGTAACAACATTTTTTTATCATTAATTTTATTTTAACAAATTTGTTTTTTCACACCATGTTGATTGACATGTCAAGGATTATTTGTTTGTAAAAATCAAATATAAACTCTTTGATTGATTGATTAATTCATTATCAACAACGAACGAACCATATGGAATATACCAAACTGACATATGCCAAGAATTTTTAGTAGGTTTTAAAAGCCAAAAAAAGAAAATCAATATAAAAACAACAAAAAAATGCGAAATTCTCAATTTATGATTGATACTTGATCGATTACTGCAATGATTATTTCTTGTCTGCCTTGTGTATGTTCAGTCTTGAAAAAAAAGAAATTTCTCGTTAGTTTCTGCCTTTTTCTTTCTTTTCGGTGCGTGTTTACTTCCATTTCTTAATTCTGGCATTTTCGATTATTATTAGTCATTATTGCACAAACGAAATGGGACATGTGCAATTTCTAATTTTAAACCAAAATCGGGACAATAAACGCGTTGGTTGGTTAGTTGACAACAACAACAACAACGATGACAGTTATGCCCAATTCTTTATTTGAATTTCTTTTTACTTACTTGCTTATTGCCATCATCATAATCATCATTATCAAAACATTTCATTTCATTTTTTATTACTTTTATTTTATTATTACATACTGCTACTTTTTTGTTGATGAATTCACAAACAAAAAAATATTGATCGTTAAAGAATTGCAGTAAACTTTGTCTTGATTGATTGATAGATGATGATGATGATTGCACATTTGAAAGTAAAAATGTTTTATTTTTTGTCTGCTCTTGATTCTACGGAATTATCATAATGGATTTAATGATGATGATAATGAAACGCGAACCAAAAAAAAAACAATGTTATTTAGTCTTTATCAGAAGGAATATCATAAATGTGTGGGAGGAGGGGGGAAGGACAACATTCGATTCGATTCGATTCTTAAGCGAAAATAAGCGCGCGAAATATGAAACATTTGTTTTGACAGCCAATAGATGGCATTAATATGCAAGATTCTCATGTGGTCTTTATTCGAAACAAAAACAAAAACATTCGATTCTTGTCATCAAAAGCTAATATCAACAGAGAAATGGCTAAAAATATTGTCAAAATTCATTGGCAAAAAGATGTTCAAATTGAAGAAATTGATTCACATTGTTTTAATTCAAATATTGATAATAAATTCAATGCAAATTATATCCAATGGTCGTCTGATAATCAATTTTTGGTTGTTAATTTAATGGATGAATTGTTGATATTTGAAACAAATATTCATCGCTTGTTTGATGAAAAACGTAATCTTCTTAATGATACTGTTGGCCAACGACTTGGTTTCCGTTCGATCCGCATCAAACCGGATTCCGAATTCAAATATAAACTAACCACGAATGAAGTCAACTCGAATTTTTGTCGGCTTCCACCCGATATTGGACCACGATTTATTGATTTTAGATTTGCTCCACCATCCTCATTCGATTTGAATTGTTTTCAAATTTTGGCCTGTCTTGACGATCATAATGTTCTCGTTATTTATCTGAATTTAAGTCCAATCGAATGGCGCCAAATCTGTAATGTAACAAGATTTTTAAATGAATCATTGATGCAACAATCATTGAATGATGATGATGATTATTTTGATCGATTAAATAAGATGCGTATTAGTGCTTTTGAATGGCATCCCGATATCACTAATGTTGATTCTGGAAACGATACTTTACATCGTTATCTATATTTCACAACTAAAGATAATAATCTTTATTCAGCACGATTAATTATCAATCGGGAAATTGATTGTGAGATAAAAATACTGCAAAAAATTGCAATCAAATCGGAAATCATTACGATTAAATCATTAAAGTCCTTATTATTGATTCAATATCGTGATGGAAGAATAGATTTATACGGTCAGAATCTGCAAAAAATGACTACATTATGGTCGAAACAAGATTATCGAATCGTAATGAATTTTGCTCATAAACAATTGAATAACGATGAAATCGAAATCATTTTCTCGAAATATGATTCCATCATTGCTACCATTGTTGATGTGAATACGATGCAATTGCAAACGTTCAAAGAATTTTCTATCAAACAGCTTAACGATGAACGATTGATGGAATTTCATTATGAAAATATATTTGCTGTATTTAATCTGAACACTTACTATTGTCTTACTACAATGAAGAATGATATCTATTCATTCGAACTCGGTAATATCGATGCCAGCACATTAGTGATGAGAAAATTGATTCATCCATCCATGTTGAAACATTCGGATGATGTTCATTATGCATCAATATCATCATCATCCAATAATGCATTAATGGCCATTTTATCTCGGCAAAATCGTTTCAGTGGAAAATGTACAAATTTTAAGGTAAAAAATGTTCGCCTTTATATCGCTACTACACATACAATCAATCCATCATCGACTATTCTATCATTGACAAAGCGTCTGTTTTCCACTAATCATCATCATTCATTTAATTTAGCCGATCTTTTATTCATGATACGTTATAATCTATTATGTTCAGATTCCAGCGAAAATGGATTCAATTTGATTGTCGATATTCTTCTACGCAAAGTTCCATTGTGGTTAGAAAGATGGAATGATGATGATAATAATAATGATTTGAATGTTTGGTCATATCAAATCAAATGTATCAGATATTTGGCACGTTATTGTTTAATTGATGGGGAAAAATTTCTTTTGTATGGTCATGATAAACAAATCAATCGTGAAAGACTTGAAAAATTAATCGACATATTAAATCTACTGATTATGAAAAGTCATTTCAAGCAAGTATTTCATTTGATAAAAATCGATGATCGATTTGTGGATGAATTATCTATCGAACAACGAATCTCACTCGTTAATCTTATCAATGCAAATGTTATCGATTTCTTTCCTGATGTAATCCAAAAACAAATCATTCAATCGGTTGAAAATAGAGTACAAAATTGTCCCAGTTGTAATAATATTGTGGAAAATCCCTCATCATGTTATCTGGATCAATATAATACTAAACATAATTGTTATGGACATCAATTTGATGTTGATTCAAATTCATTGATCATATTGAATCCCGTTGAACATTCGATCGAATCCTGTATAAAATGTTATGAATCCAAACTGTTTGTTCGTGATGATCGAACAAGCCTTTGGCCCGATCCACAAATGTATCCATTCCGTTTTGTATCCAAATGTTGCTTATTTTGTATATAGTCAATCATATTGCAATTATCATCAATTTTTATCGATATGAAACTTGTTTTTGATTGATTGAAACAAGATGGCGCAATACATTATCTCATCAAGAATTTGTAATCTCACATTTATGAAAAGAACCCTGGTCAATCGAGAAATCGAATATCCTTAAAAGTGCAAACATCGACCAATATGATCAAAAGCTTAACAACAACATCAAACTTTTTTAGAAAACCTTCTCACATGGCGGCAGTAATTGCCTGAATAAAGGATGGCAAGAAAGTGGTGAATCAACATCAAACACAACTTAACAACTAAAAAAAGGAACAACCCGAACGAATGGAATGAACGAACCAATCAACCAAGCAAAAATGAATGAATAATGTTGATGATGATGATTTCAAGCTGCCAGCTGACACAGATGCCAGATCAGTATTCATATTTCGGTCGAGTCTCTCCATAAATTGTGCGTGTCCATTAATATTGTGTGCATGGTGAGCACAACATTACCAGAATTCAATATATTTTTGGCCTGAAAGAGTGTGTGTTGTTAATATTGTTGTTTTTTCGGTGAGTGCTTTTCATATTTTTGGTTATGATTGTTGTTTATTCTAGTTTTTCTGTTCACCGTAATTATTATTGATTATCAAGCTTTTCAAATGGAATCTAAATGTCCGACAAACTCAGTGACTAATCCAAAATAGTATAGGATAATTATAAAGGTAACTTTGGATTATGATTATAATTGAACAAATTCTTATCCAATTCAAATCGATCGGAATCTGTGTGTGCGTTTAGAGGAATTTTGACATTTGATTTATTTTACCATAGTAATCATTGATTAAGGGTCGATTTTTTTGGAATGTTTTCCTAAAACAGACCGCATTATATCAAAAAAAAAATTTGACCACAAGCCGAGTTGACGAATTATCAATCAGTATAGTGTGAATATAGCAATAAAGTGATAATAATTGTCATTTGACAAATGCCCCGAGCTTTTTGGGTTTTGTTTTGTTTGGAACAGTGCTTTTCAAACGAGAAAAAAAGGTGTGAAATTCAACATTAGAAAAAAGTGCAACACCTGTATATTTCAACAAAAAAAGGAAGAAAGAATTCATTTTTTTCATTTGATCAATTAGTTCGGCAACAACAAATAAGAAGAAAAAAAGAATCTACTGTTGATTTGAAAAATGTTTTTTTCTTGTCATTTTCCATTCACCAAACTATCATCATTGATAATAATTATCAACATATATTACATCCATTACATTGCACGAGTGTTTTTATCATCATCATCATATTGAATGTTTTGATAATCACAAAAAGCTACTTATAATTAAGGTGTGTGTAAGTGATAAGTAAGCCAAACAACAACAAAAATCGGAAATCGTGGGCGAATTTGTCTTATTTCAAATGAATAAATTGAATGGCTAGATTCCTTATTTAGAATGATGTGTTTTGTTTTTAAATGGATGCTACCAAATATCAATCATAGTTTTTTACATTCTCATTTGGTTAAATTGTAACAATTTTTTTCGAAAAAAATTTCTTTTCAGCTTCGAACTGCAACTAATTCCGACTGAATAAACATGAAAATCTTTGTGTTTTTGTTATTAAATCTTTTCTTTGTGATTAATCAAATTTTCTGTGATGAAATTTTATCGGATTTTGATAACGATACACAACAAATTTTCTTTGATGATGAAGAATCAACAAAAGTTCTCAACATTACACCGATGCCAATATACACCAAGAATATCTGGAATAACAACAATAATGATGATAGAGCAACCAAGCGGAAATTTCGAAAACAACAATCAAAAAATTATCATTATCGTAAACATCGTCGACATCAATTGCATCGAAATTTTATGAAATTCCTAAGACAACAGAATTTGATATTGATGAAAAATAATGGCGATAAAGGTCTGAAATCATTGGATAACAGAGCAATCAAATCGTTATGGAGAAATTTTTCTAGTCATTATTCACAAAGTCAACCATTTCTCGAGAATTATCCTTCGCAATCAATCGACCAATTAATATCATCCAATAATGAATCGAATCAAAAACGTCGAAAAAATTCATCATCATCAACAAAAAAACAACCAAACATTATATTCATATTGACCGATGATCAAGATATCGAATTAGGATCGATGAATTATATGCCAAAAACTGTCAAAATTATGGCCGATCAAGGTGTTCATGTGAAAAATGCCTATTCCACTACTCCGTAAATGAATTTATTTGATTTGTTTTTAGAAAAATTTTAAAGACTTTTTTGTCCACATTTAGGATGTGCTGTCCCAGTCGCAGTTCAATATTGACCGGTCTTTATGTTCATAATCATAATGTTTATGTAAGTTTAATAAAGATAATTTTGTTGAGCCACTTTAATCCTTCACTCAATAATGGATAGACAAATGGTGAAAATTGTAGCTCAGTACAATGGCAACAAACATATGAACGGCAAACATTTGCGACATATCTTCGAGATTTTGGTGGATATCGTACCGCTTATTTTGGAAAATATCTTAATGAATATAATGGTAGCTATATACCACCTGGTTGGTCCGATTGGTCAGCATTAGTTCGAAATTCTCGATATTATAATTATACATTAAATGTTAATGGCGATAAAATTCGTCACGGTTTTGATTATAATCTTGATTATTATCCCGATCTAATCCTCAATGATAGTCTACAATTTATTCGTTATTCAAAACGTTTTTTCAATTCCAAACCATATTTAATGGTATTATCATTTCCATCACCACATGGACCAGAAGATTCCGCACCACAATATCAGAATTTATTTCTCAATGAAAAACGTCACCGGTTTGTTGCATTGAAATATTGCAAAAATGATAAACTTATTGATTGTGTTTATTACTTTGTTGATTAATAGAACGATTAGTTGGAATCATGCACCGAATGGTGATAAACAATGGCTATTACGAAATACAGTCAAAATGAGCACAATACATGAGAAATTTACTGATTTTCTCAATGCAAAACGCTTACAAACATTGCAATCGGTCGATGAATCCGTAAATCAAATATATGAAGAGCTTAAAAAATTGAATGAACTTGGTAAAGTATTTATGTTTTTTTGTTTACATTACAATGATGGATGATGATTTAATTTTTGTTTAGATAACACTTATATTATTTACACTTCTGATCATGGATATCATTTGGGACAATTTGGTCTAGTCAAAGGAAAAGCAATGCCATTCGAATTCGATATACGTGTTCCATTTTTTATTCGTGGTCCGAATGTTCCGCCGGGTAAAATGTATGTTTTTGGATCATAATTCTTTTTTTGCTAATATCCTTTATTATTGATTTCTAATAGACTGCCACAAATCGTTTTGAATATCGATATTGCACCTACATTGTTGGATATTGCCGGTATCAAAGTACCCGAACATATGGATGGCGTATCATTTCTACCATATATTCGATTACTGAAAAATAGAAATTCTTCGGAATTACATCGTTCGAAATTGATTAAACGGGATACCTTCTTGGTTGAACGGGGGTTTGTTTTGAGAAATTTTTTATTGAAAAATTTTCCTATTAATATTTTTGCTTTCATACAAATTTCTAACAGAAAATTTCAAACAATAAGCAATAACAATAATAATGATAATAATATTGATCGTTTATTGATGCCAATCGTTGGCAAAAAACAATGGCTACAACTTCATTGTCTAAAATCAGAATATCAAAGTCCTTGCCGTCCAAATCAACGTTTCGAATGTTTCATTAATAATAACGGTGTACAGCGAATTCGTAAATGTCCATCATTCAATCGTAAACATTTTATTCGTTCTAAAAAAAATTCACAAGGTCAATGTATTTGTCCACCGCTGTCGACCAGATCTTTGAAAAGGAATTCAGATTCGACACGAATAGGAAAACTGGATTATAAACGACGTTTAAAAAAGATGCAATTAAGACAACAAAAGCATGCAATACGCTCAAATTTATTGAATCGTGCGCGACGAAGCGATAAATTTGTTCTAAGTATACTGGACGATGGATTATCTATTGACGATGATTTTGATGTTCAAGGTGTTTATGAATTGAAAAAATTGATTGAAATTTCAAAATCTTCATCCAGTTTATCGAACAACAATCATTCTAACCATGATAATCGATTATTGTTGAACAATAATTTAGCCAATATTACTACTAGCCAATTGATATCCATACTAGACAATAACCCTGATGATGATACATTTGCTGACCTGGCTAATTATACCGATTATATGAATCGTACATTTTGCACTGTAACTCGTAGTAATTTTACCATAGAATGTTCGGAAGAAATTTATTCAAATCATCAAGCATGGCGTGAAAAAAAAGATTTTATCAATGCTGCAATCATTGAATTACAACGACGTTTATACGAATTGAAAGGAATACGAAGATATATCAATCAAAATAGGCCATTATCATCAGCATTCACACCAACATTTTCAGGCAAAAAATCAAACCAAACAACTATAAATGAAGAAAATGAATGTTTTTGTCCCAAATCAATTGTCACCACCACCAACACTTCTTTCATACAAGACAAAGATGATGATAGTGAAACAGACAACATCCAAAACAGTGATAACAATTATTATGATGATTATTATTCGGGAAAGGAAAATGTTAGTGATCTGTATCATGACGTTAGAATTGGGCAACCATCGATGATGATGGTCGATTCAAAACATTCATACATTGATGGCAATAATCATAATCATAATTATGCTGGCCATCATCATCATCATCCTCATCATCGAACTTCATTCGATCTAAAACGTTGGCTAAGACGTCGAGAAAAGAAAATTCGCCGAAAAGATAAATTTGCCAAGACCGAATGTAAAATGGCAGTCGGCGGACATATGAATTGTTTCACCCACGATAATGATCATTGGAAAACGCCACCATTATGGACAAGTAAGTGTTTTTTTTGATGATGATGGCAACTTTTTCATTTTGCTTTTCTTTTCCATCCAAAAATCCATTTGAAACTCACGATTGTCATTATTGAAATTACCATCTACGGCTTTCCGCACACACACAAACACTTTTGACACTACACATTCATGGACGAATGTTGGTAAAGATGGACCATTTTGTTTTTGTCAAAATTCACTCAACTCTTCATTTTGGTGTATGCGAACAATCAATGAAACACATAATAATTTATATTGTGAATTTGTCACTGGTTTCATTACTTATTATGATTTGAATAAGGATCCATTTCAAGTAATTATTTGCAATATGATTGTTTATTTTATTGTTTTATTGTTTCTTTTTCTCACCTACACACTTTTAGCTACGAAATTTGATTTTTGATTTGGATTTCATTGTTATCGAAGAAATGAGTCGGCGATTAGCAAGATTGAAATCCTGTTCCGGATCAATCGAATGTAACAATGCTGCATCCTCAATATCCGATGTTCAGTCTTCAACTACTTTGATTTCCAACAAAAAAACGTCCCGGTCGTTTTCATCTCGAGCATTGTCACAACGATTTTTAACATCGATCATATAGCAACAAGAACGTTCCAAGGAAAATTGAGAGCGAGAGAGAGAGAATGTATACAATGTATAAAAAGAAATGACAATTATCGATTGTCTCTTTCAAAAAACGCTTGGTATATTAGCCATCAGGAACTGAGACGGAATCGAAAACAAATGGATGTCATTATAGATGTATCGCTTCTGGCCCAGTAAAACTGTGATCGGTTAAAATCAGCAATTTTCAGAAGTTTGTTTCGATGGTCAACGCTTCACCAAGATATTCATCTATAACCAAATGAAAAAAAAATAATTAGAATAAATGAAAGCATCTATTGTCAATGTTATTTGTCATTATAAGCATGGTCAATAATATAATGTTTTTTTGATTATGAATGTTAATTAGTTTTATGGCATTAATGAATATCGATGCTTTTATCTAATAAAATCGAACCAACTGACTTATGTTTTGATTGAAAAATATCACACACACACATTAACATGATAATATATAATGCTTTCAATGAAATAAAATTGCTGATAATAATGATAATTGGTTTGAATTGATGGAGAATGATGTGCCACTGTAAATGATGATGGTGAATCTCTCTCTCTCTTTCTATCCATCCATACATAGTCAGAAAAATGAATCCTGTGGATTTTTTCATTACTGATTTTCATCATGTATTATATCGAATAATATGATTGAATATAATAATCGTGATCGCTTCTAGCTTTTGTTCGTTCTTATTTTGTTCATGATTTAAGATATAATAAATAAGGAACACGAGTGAAAGATAGGAGAAAAAAGTTGCTTATAAAATGGTCATCATCTATACCTGTACTCAACAAAAACTTTATGTATGTGTGAGTGAGTGAGTTTAATAAGCAAGTTTTATGAAAAAAATATTATGTTATTATCTTCAGCCATCAATCAACAGAGAAAAATACCGAAAGATGTTTTTTTTTCTTCTGATAATGACGAAAAAGGATTTTCTCATTGCCGAAAAAAAACAACAAAACAAAAGAAATTAAATCCATATCAATCAATGAAGAATTAGTAAAACAAAACAAAAAATTGGCCCAATCACAAGAAAAGAATGGAACGGTGGGCAACGAAAAAGAAAATCTTTTTAGAAATCTGATATCAAACATCCTTATCCTCATCAAATCGTTATAAATCATCGTCGTTTTTGTGTATTTATTATTGATCAATCAGCTTCAGCATCATCATCATTATGATCATGATATTGATATATGAAAATGAATGAAAAATAACATTGGCAAAATTAAAACAAACGAAACGACCACTAATGAGAAAATTTACTGCATGCCTCACCTTATGGAAGTTTTTTTGGCTATAATATCGTCATCATCATTCGATTAAAAAAATTCAGGTATACAAAATAAATGATAATGATGATGAGATACACGTGACGTTATTTAACCGAACGACCGATCAATGATCAAATCAATCATCATCGAACACACACACACATATATCCTGATCAAACGAACATGGTAAAATGAACATGATCAAAACAAAACAAAAAAAAGTCAATTGTAAAGGAAAGAATAAAATATCTATATGTTTTGTATAACAATGAAAATCGAGGTAATAATCTGATTTGATTCATATATAAATTCGACCTTGTTGTTTGTGTTGTGATTATTTTATAATTGGATACAAATTTTGAATTTCTCATTTTGCACAACAACAAAACCATACAGGCGAAACCTTTTTTCATTTGCAAAAGGTTGTGTTCAGTTATTATTGTCAATTGGCCCCAAAATTGGAAAATAAAACAAAAACCAACCAAGGGAGAGAGAAAGAGAGCAACATTAACGAGAAAAAAATCACGCAAAAATCGATTCGATAAAATGGCAAATATATCGATCATATTTATTCATTCAAACACACACCCAAGATTTATTGTTTGAATTAAATTTTTTACTATTTCAATTCAAATGCTGTTTCACAGGTTTTGATTTTTGAAAAGAAAAACCACACACAAAGATTTTCTTAAAAAAAAATATTCAATTTGATGTCAATTTTGGCTGTTATATAAAACTATTGATCTGATATCGTTCGAGAGAACAAAAATGCATTGACAAATCAAAACAAATATTATTATCGATTATTGTTTCTTCAATGGAATGAATATAATAAACATTCGCTCAAAAAGTTGAATATTTGAAAATGAAAAACGAAGATATCGATTGAATGACGAAACTGTCATCATTATCATCACTGTGTCCGAAAAATTATTTCACCGATATTATATAATGATATTAAAATGAATCAGGAATATTACAGCAACAAAAATTTCATTCAATTGATTTGCTATCAAGACTCTATGATAACAAATATATCGAATATCGGTTTTTTCAAAATAGATATTATTCAAAAAACGAATCTGCACGAAACACAATGAGCAAATTGTTCAATCAATTCACAAAGAAAATTGAATGAAACAAAATCAAAAGAAAGATCTCATTGATACCTGCGTGTGTATGATTGAGAATGTGTGATTATAGACCAAAATAATAATGTTATTGTGGCTGATAATAATGGAAAAATGAAAAATTATATCATTATTATCGGAATTCATCATCATCATTCAACAACAATGATGATGATGGTGTCGATCAAAGATTGATTATACACCGACACACACACATGCATAATATTGATGACATTATTATCATCAAACAACAAAAGAAATACCAAAAATTTGATGATCATTATCATCAACAAAACGAAAAAAGACAAAAAGAAAATTTGCCAATCAATGTCATTTATTTGAAATCGATGATAACAAAAATATTTTGTCACGTTTCACTATGACATCATCATCATCATGTGTGACAATCAAGAAAAAATTATGAATTTTTGTCCGTTCTCAACAAGATCGATATCGATGGTAAAAAAATTTAATGATCAATCGATAGTGATGAATGAATCATTCAAATGAATAAATATTCACATTGTGGTAATTGAAATTGGGAAATTTGACGAAAATTGTAATAAAAAATCGTAATAAGAAGAAATCTTATCACACAAAAATCTCCTTTTCCCTAATGAAAATTATTATCATTTCTTTTTTTTCCTAATTTGAAGAAAAAAATATCAATATTAACACAGTGTGAAGGTAAAGAATATAACAAAACAATTGACACCATCGCAATGATGAAGCATAATTCACTTCTTGTCATCATCATTATCATTCATCAGTCATTATTATTATTATTATTTCTTTTGGCAAAATAATCAAACAGTTGATGATGATGATGATCACCCATCAAATCATTCGCATCCGTCGGATATTTTTTTCTCATTATTATTATTATTATTATCATTATTGTATTCAAATATTCAATTGTGCATTTTCCTATATAGAACTTGTATTATATTATCAATGTTATTTTGGAAGGAAAATGTTAATCATAATCATCATCATGCATGGTCATATGATGATCGATGAATGTGAAATTAGTAATATTTGATTTGAATCAATCTATGCTGCATTATTATTATTATCATCATTGACAATCAAATCTATTAGCTATTTCGAAATAAAGAGAATATTCTACTGCCGGATATGGTTTATTTTCGTATATGATATGCCAAAAGATGATAAAATCTGATCTACATTAAGATATTTAAACTACCCAACCAACTGACTGAATGATGACGATATTTACTCAACACAAATGGATGGATGGCCATGACAGTTAAGAAAGAAAGATATAAAAAAGTAATCATCATCAAATGTAATAATAATGTTGTCAATGAATGTATAGATAAATTTATTCGAAATTTGTACATATACTTGCTTTTTATGGAGAATGCAATACATATTCGTGGTTGGTTCGATCGTCAAGTCAATCATCACTAATAACCAGCAAAAAAAGACCAGTTTATTTCCTATACGGTTGTTTGTTTATTATTATCATCATTTTCACGAGAATTCCTATGAAAAAATAATGATAATTTTGAATTAGAAACTTGAAAAAGAAAATTTTGGACAACTTTTGAAACTGTCAATCAAATTGAATGAATGAACGAATGTGATGTGGATGTGAAAATTTGCAAGAATAATAATGATAATGGCATACTCATCATCAACACACACAAGGCAAACAAAACCAAACAAATCGTCAACAATGATGTTGTTGATCATGAAAACAAACGATGATGAAAATTGACAAGACAACAACAAGGGATTGTGATTTTTTCGTTGAACAAACGAGAACAACAACATAACATAACATAACCCTGAACAAAGAAGACATCCATTGATTGTCAAACAAAATTCGATTTTTCATTTCTTTGTGGATGATAATAACTTCGACAACAACAAGAATAAAGATAATGATAATAATGATGATGATGACGATGATGAACAAATTGTAGTGTCTGTCAAATGAAGAAAAAAAGCAAATCAGAACAGAAAAAAATTAGAAATTAGAAAAAACAAAATCAAAAAGTTAATAGAAAATTAATCCATTACATTTTTTCGACCATGAATGAATGATTAGTTTTGTTGTTGTTGTTCGAAAAAAACTGTCGGAATTTTCTTTTCATTTCGAAAACTCGAAATTGGTAAAATATGAATTTTTTATTCGTTAGAAATTCGAAACATTCAACATCATCATTGTTATTATCATTACCATGTCATTATATATCAATCATTACGGATTTTTTGGATTGCGAAAATTTGCTTTAGATTTTTTTCACAAACGAATAAAATGATGGTGGTGGCCATTTTATTTCCAATTGATTTTTCAAACGCTTGGTCCATTTTTTCGATTATCATCATGATGATGATTGCTTCGGGTGGTCGAAAAGGTAAAACCTTGAGTGAAAAAAATGTCATAAAAAGAATGGTGCATAAATTGTTTCGAACAAGAAATCGTATTTCTCAATAATACGATAATTGACTTCCATATAGTACGTTACCACACGCCTTTCGAATTTTTTTTTTGAAAGCAAAAAAATCGCGTTCACAATTAAGTGGTGACCTTTTTTTCAATTCAACAACCTTTTCAAAAAAAAAGATTAACCATCCATTTGAGAATAGTGGTGATGATTTTGAAACAAAAACACTCATAGTTTTAAAGTGATGAAAGAAAATTTCTTCAAAGACAGTTTGAAAGCCAACAGCAACAACAAGAAAACAAACATATTTCATTCATTCAATATTGAATTGATTCTGACAACCACAAAAAACCACAGAAAACAAACAAACAAAGCTTATAAGCAAAAATGAAAAAAAGAAATAAATCTTTTTTGTTTTGTTTATCATTTTATAATATAGAAGATTTATTAATATATTTATAATAATCATTAAACAGCGAGAAAGAAAAAAAAGGAAGATCGAAGATGTTTTTTGTTTTTGGGAAGATCAATACCATCGATTGTTAAGATGATGATGATGATGATGACAAAAATGATGAACGATTCAGAATGGTGTATGGGTGTTTTTCCATCAAGCAGAAAATAACTGGATGATTATGATGATGATGAATAAATCAAGGAAGGATGTTTGTGTTGTTGAGAACAATTTATTTTTTATATAAACATCATCATCATCCAACCACAATTCCGAACATCGATTAAAATCGAATCAAAAAATAAAATAAAATTTTAAACAAGGTTATATTAATGAGTGAAAAGCAAAGCTGAGAGGAAAAAATTCAAACAAACAAACAAACGAAATAAATGAGAAGAAAAAAAAATAATTCGAAACTTGAAACGGAACAGAGAAAAAAAGAAAAAGAAAAAATATTGATATATGTTTCATTGAGATGTGTGTGTGAAACATGAAACTTATGAACAACCAACAAATAAATTCCTGTCAATGAAACAATGTGTGTGCGTAATTGGTGTGATGGTGTGTGTTGAATGGAATCGTCTAAAAGAGAATTTTGTTTCAAATTTTGCAAAATACAAATTCCAGGTTTCAATGAGATATTTAAAAATGGAAAACAATAATTATAATATCTTTTTCTTTTTAAAAAAATTAATCAATAAAATCAATATTCATTATGGATATGATGATGTGTGCGTATTAGTGTGTGTGTGTTATGAGAAAAAATGATGAAATGAGATTTGAATGATGAACGGAGGTAAGTTATTATTATTATTAGTTTGTTTTTGTTTCGTAGAAAAACAAGGACACAGAATTTTTTCGTTTGTTTTGTTGCCCAACCGAAACACAAAAAAAAAGTTTTACTGAACCAAAACAAAAAAACTTGCCAATTTGTTGAGTGTTGTAAACACATACATTATTCATATTTATAAAAACAAAAACAAAAAAAACGAACGAAATTACCGAACAGAATAATTCAATTAATTAATTAATTTGAAAATAAAAAATAAAATTAGCAATTCAAAAATAACAAAATATGAGAGAGAAATTGGTGGGTTTCAAGTTGTTTTTTGGTGTGTGTGCATGTCTGTGTATAACACCGAGAAAGAGAGAACAAATTCAATTTTAAAATCAAAAAAAAAATATTAATTTAAAAATTCAAGAAAATTTTAAGAAAAAAAAATAAAAACAAAAATATAACGAAACAAACAAAATGATAATGAAAATTTCTTGGCAACACAATATTTTGGATTTGAGAGTGGGATGTTGGGCAATATTCACCAATATTCATCATCATCAAATTCAAGGTACATGGTTAGTTGGTTGTTGTTACAAAAAGGAATATTCTTTTCTTTCTGAATGACATTGGCAATCAATCAATGATGATGATGATTGGTGGTGGTAGTGTTGATGGCAGCCTTATTTTGTTTGATATCATTGTATGATGATGGAAGGAGAGGAGAAAAAATTATTGAAATTCTTTCGGATTGATCGATTCTTGGATTCTTGGTTTTGGACTCATTTTTTTAGTATTGTTGTTGGTCACCATACACAAACACTGAGAATCAATGATATTTTTTTGGAACAGAGATCGTTGCGTTTTTGTCATCCTTTTGTTTGACATTTTGTGCCAATTCATTCATTCATTTCATTCAGTCAGTTGGTTGATTTTTTGGTTCTAGTTTCGATTTTTTTTTGATATTTGGTATTTCGGACGCTTTTTATTCTTCTTCAGTTGTTGTTGTTTGGCCGAATTAGAAAAAAAACGATTATTTGATGAGAAATGGTGGATTAATTGGAAAAAATTGATGAAAATGAGATGATGAAAGTTGTGAAAGAAAAAAATTGTGTGGAGAGAGAGACGGAATAAGAATTGAGAATATTCTGATGATGATGAGGAAAATTTTCCACTGGTGATGCACACACAAGGGAAAATATGAAAAAAAAATTGGCGAATAATTTGAAAGAACTCAAATATATGATGAATGGCATTGATGAAACGCGGTGGTAGTAGTGGTGTTGGTGGTGGTAGTAGTGATAATGATTTTCTTCTTCTTCCTGGTTGTTGTTGTTTGATTTGAAAATCGGAAATGGAAAAAAAGCGCCAAAAATGAAAAACAAAAATTTATGGAAGGATGATGATGGTATCTGTGGTTATTGAACGAATATTTTCAACAAACAAAAAAAATTCTTTCATCAGATTAGATAGATATATGGAGTGAATGAGTGTAGGGTGTCTATATAGGTATTGTTGATTTTAACATGGATTTTAAGATTAGTTTGATGATGATAATTGTCGAGCTGAAAAAAATGGTCAACATGACTTATGTTATGAGTTAATATTGATGATGAGCAATGATGAAGTTAACAATGTGTAATAATTCAGTCGATTATAATAGTCAAAGTTAAATGAACACACACAGAGAGAAGCAGAATTGAAAAGAATAAAAAACTAATTTCATCGGGGATGTGTATGTCATCATTATCATCGTCGTCAAGTAATGAAGAATAAGAGAATGAAAAACAACAACAACAATATCTAACCAAAAAATTGAGTGCAGAAAATAATGATGATGATTATTGTGTGATTGAAATGCTAATTAATATTGATTCAATTCAAATATATTTTGCTGATTAATTAATGAAGAACAAACAGAAACTGGTTAAATGAACGAAAAAAAAACTATCCTAACATGAGGTATATTTATTATGATGATTCTCTCTCTGTGTGTGTGTGTGATTTGGCTTGTGTCGATCTGATTATATGGAAATAACAAAAATTAATAATTCGTAGTATTCGGTGAGATGAGAAGAAGAAGAGATATTCTGGAAGAATTTTACATTATTATTCACACTGATCATCATCACCAGAAAAAAACGAGAATTATGAGGCAAAAAATATATGGACGAATTTTTTTCCGAATTTCAATAGAAAAAATCGTTTGTTTTTTAAAGAATGGAAGATTTATCTTTTCAATGTGAGCATTTGCTGTTTCAATCGGTAAATCTTGAACAAGCTTTTTTCCATTTACATTGTGTACACCAGGAATCTTTTTTATCCATACCATACACTTTACGACATTTACGTGTTTCACCACGAACGCGTTTTGTTGGTGATGTACGATGTTGTTGTTGTTGTTGCTGTATTAAAGTTGTGGATGAAATTTGATGTTGTCCATTAATATTATTAACATTATTATGATTGGTCAATGATGTTGATGTGGATGGTGGGGATAATGGTGTTGAACCATTATGATGATGATTATTATGATGAGAATGATGATTATGTGGATGATGAGAATGATGATGACCATTATGGTGAATATTACGTCCATTCAATGATGATATTCGTAGATATTTATTACCAGCCGTTATTGATGATGATGTTGATGATTGCGATGATGATGATGATGATTGGGATGTAAATGAGCCTGAATGTGAACGAGATGTTGGTGATATTGGACTAAAACTTGAGGATAATGATGAGGAAGCTGTGATATGGCTGCCACAACCATTACCATTATTACTACTGCCAGTATATGATCCAAAACCACTGCTATTAAATGAACTAGCAAAGGAATTGAATCCACCGAATGATGATGATGAATGACCAAATATTGATGATGATAATGGCGGTGATGATTGACTAATTGAATTGATCATATGATCCTGATGCATATGATTATTATTATTATTCGGAATGTTTATCGGATGTGATGATTGTTGATGTTGATGAATCAATCCGATTGCGGTGGTTTGTTGATTATTGGCGGTGGTATTATTGTTTGATTTACGTCCACGACGATTAATAACGGTGGTTGAAGTATTGTTAGTTGTGGTGGTGGTCATATTGGTGGCCGGTATCGTTGTTGAACCAAGTATGGATATACCGGCCGGATCTGGTTTTCGATTATACTCATGATCTTCTAGATGGCGATAAGTATTTTGAACCGGTACAAATGATATTGATGAAAATCTATTGGATTGATATTGATGATTATTTGCATTGATAACATTGCCAATGTTCATTGTTGCTGTTGTTGCGGTCGGTGATGGTGGATTGGATGATGAATCCATTGAATTATCACCATTTATTGACATAATCATCATACCACTACTACTGCTGCTGATACTTGCTCCATCACCGCATTCGGAAACAGAAACCGGTGATTCAGGACCTGATGATAAATTGTGATTATTATGATGATGATTTATCGAAAATGCTGGATGACCACCACCACCAAAACCGTTAGCATTTCCTTTAGCTAATGCGACAATAGCATCAGCACTAATGATTGGATCAAATGTAATGTCCACTTCGGTATAATAAAATTCTTCATCACCGCTCATCATCTCTTCATCATCGTTTTGTCTGTGAAAATGAATAAAGAAAACGAATGAAAATGATTAGCAGAATATTCAAAACAAACAAACAAAAGTAAAAATATAAAATATAAAATAAATATACTTTTGCAAATGTTCCAAACGGACATGCTGTTCAATTTCATGTTGAACAAATGTTCTATGTTTGCATCCACGCCATGTACATTTAAATAATTTGGTCGGGGTATTAGCTGACGTTGTTCCTGTTTGTTTGTTTTTTGGTAAATAAAAGATAAATGGATTATAATTGCGAATAAATTCAACAAATAAAAAGAAAAAGTTAACAAATGAGTTAATAGTTAGCCTACCATTGGGAAATTGTTCATTGAAAATGGTACTATTATTATTATTGGTAAACAATGTCGGTGAACGTGGTGAAGCCGAAAGGCTCATCAAAACTAATGCAGCAGCACATTCATCCATAACAACATCTTCGGTTGATGCCGATGATAAGCCACAACCATCGTTGTTGGAATTGATTGTTCGAGATATTGCTTTCGTATCGATCGACGATGATGATGATTGTTGTTGTTGATGTGCTGGACGTCTTTTTCTTCCGGATCTAGATTTAGATTTCGGTGTTGTTGTTTGAATCACATATGGATAAAGATAATTAAAATGATTATTAGTTAATAATGATGATGATTTTGTTTGATAATTAAATAATAATAATGGTGGCGGTGGTTGATTTGATTGTAATTTCATTTTTGTTAATTAATTTCGTAATTCATTTTCCATTAAATTAAATGACCAGATTCGATTTTATTTAAACAAAACAATAAAATTATCCATCAATCAAAATTCTATTTTAGTTTGACAAAAAATCAAGAAAATGATTGCAATTTGCAGCCGGCATTTCAAATGGCAGGTAAAATTCAAATGGCGCCAAAAAAAGAAGTGAACATCAAAAAGAAATGATTATAATAATAATAATGATAAAATTATTGCCACCATCATTATCATCACTATCGGCATCACCACCAACAACAACAACAAATCATTCAGTATAAGTATGTATAGAATGTGTTGTTGTCGGATCCATTATTATAATAAAATGGTCTCTCTCTCTCCTGATCGCTCAATGATATTTCTCTTTTTCTTTTTCTTATTATAATTATGTTTGAATTTTTTCTCACTTTTCATTTCATTTTCAAATCAAATTCAATTTCGTTGTTGCATTTTGAATATCGCATTGAAATATAGGGAGAGAAACATTTTTTTCTCTTTTCAAAAAACAGATGAAAAAAAATCAAAATCCACACACACATGTTGAAATTATGATGATGGTGTGGTGGTACTGTTAACACTACGTACGCGTTTAACAATGGCCAATTTCGGGCGCCAAAAAAATCAATGTGAACATAGGCAAAAGCAAAAAAAACTGAATATTAATATTAATAATAGCCATCATCATCATAATCATTTTATTTTGGACAATAAGCGATGTATCTCAGAAGCTGACGAACGAAAAGAAAGTCTTTTTTTTTCTTTACTGAATTCAATTGAAAATGCATTTAACATTCACACACACCATACAGGTATTGTATTTCGAAATTTTTTCACATTCAAAAAAAGGTGAAACGAGAAGAGAAAATCCAAAAAAATAACGATTAATTTTTTTTGTGAAAAAAAGTGGAAATAATAAAGTTTGAAAGGTTGCACATACAAAGAGTGAAAGTGTGTGTTACAATAATCATTATTGTTATTATAAAAGTCATTTTCTAACCGAAAAAAATTAAAAATTATATTTTTATTTCATTTTGATGAAATTATCAATTGATTTATGGAAACATTTTGTTAACCGGTGGCCACAAAAATGAAAAATGTGGCCATTTTATTCACTATTCAAAAATCAAAGATTTACAAGTGTCAAACAAAGATTTGTTTCCAATGAAATGGCCCGGCTAATTTCAAATTATCTGAATAATAAATGGGAAATAAAAGAAAATTTTTCTGCATCAATACTAAACAAAACATAACAGAAAGAAATAAAAGAGACCTCACACAACAACAAAAAAAAAGTAGTCATTATTTTAATAGGATGTGCTAATGATGATGATGATACTATTAAGTAAATGGAGAGAGAGGGGAAAAATAAAGAAATTGAACGAAAACGAATGAGCCGATTAGGCAAAATACCTGAATAATGATAATAATAATAATAATAATAATAATGGTGTTATGTTATGAGTTTTGTTTTGCATTTAGTCAGTTTGTTAGTTGGAATCTTATCCTTTTGTTGGAAAATAATATCAAGGAAAAAAGGATAGTCGAAAAGAAAGAAGAAAAACATCATAGAAATTCAATCAATCAAGCGATCGATCGATCAATGTTCAATACAGCTTTCGTTTGCTCTTTCTCCGATCAAAACAACATCGATCAATCGACGATAATAAGAATGAAAGAAAGAAAAGAAACAGGGGAATTTGGAATTTTCGTTCACATTCTCTGTGTGAACATCATCAAGATGTAAGATTAGTTAGTGTGTGTGTGATATTCATGATGAATAACAAGAATTGATGATGACTATCGAAAAATGGAACCCTAAATGACAACAAAAAATAAAAATAAAACTAAAGCAGCTTATTCGTAAAGAAATATAACAAGTAAGGTTTTTTAGTTTTAGTTTTCTGCTAAGCTCAACACAACATAGCTTTTTTCTGCTAATATCAGGCTTTTTTCGCCACCATAAACAAACAAACAAACCAGGAATTTTCCGAACAAAAATTTTTTTTTAGTGACAAAATTTCCCGTTCAAAATCGGACAAACAAGAGAAAAACAAATTGACAACAACAAAATGTTTATAATCGTTTTTCGTTGGTGGTGGTGTTCGTGGATGATGAGTGTTTTTTCAACCAAAACGAGGAAAACAAAGACCGTTTCATTTTTTTGCATAAAATATTTCAAGCGAGAAAAAGCAAAAAAAAATCCATTCCATTTCCACACTTCAATTCCAATTCAAATCCTGTTCAAACAATGTTTCATTTCCGTTTTTTATTTTTTGATCTTTTCAACCAAAAAATTGAAAAACTGCAACACCAGTTTATTTCGAGTGGCTGCTGTTGTTGGAACACAATGTCATCATCATCATTGCATTTGACGATGATTGACATCGCGTACATATCACACATCATTATTTTGACACATTTTTATAATAATAATAATGTTGATGTCCAAAACGGTATATGGATAATATAGTCAGGATATTTATTTTTTATTTGAAAAAATTTCGAAAAAAAATCACATTGTTTCACAATAAACCAAAAAGGATTTTTTTGTTGTTGTTGTTCACACAAATCATTCGACCGAATCATTATCATCATCATTATTCATTGATGGATTCAAGTGAAAAAAATCAAGAATTTTTTTCTTTTTTCAAATTGGCCAGCTAATTTTATTGTTGTTTACATCATCATCATTATTATTATTTATTATGATCATTGTTCCATCGTTTTGTTCAGAACAAACACACACACGTGAAATATTCAATTGAAAAAATGAATTCATTTTCAATTGTATGTGAAACTATGGTTGCACAAGGTTGCTCTCCATTTTTCACATTTGTTTTTTGTACGTGTGTTGTCTGTTGTTGAAAACTTTATAAATTCATAATTTCCCGGTTGTTTTCCTAACGTTAACTAACTTTCGTTTTTAATTTCATTGTCCAAACGCACAGAGATTTGTTTTTTATGATCAAAAACATGATCATTACATTCATTGATTGAGAAGAGCGAGAGAGAGTGAAAAGTTTTGAATAAAATTATCAAAAAAATTAATTTGAAGCATAAATCACCTAACGAACAACAAACATATATCATAATCATCATCATCATTATCATCATCCACAGAATGGCCGTTATTTGCATAAAATTTTGTTGAGGGCTTCCAACAACAACGAACGAAAAAAAACTTGGCACAACAAGATTATCATTAAAGTTCTTATTGCTTTCGTCGTTGTCTATTCGAATCAAATCCAAAAAAAAGATCCAAGGGAAAGGCATATAGCGACCATAAATCAAGGATTAATTATACACCACCATCACTATATTATAAAACTAAATAAATCGTTTTCGCTCTCTCTGTGTGTCTGTATGTTTGGCCAATGTTCACATAGTGAAAATGAATTGGTTAAAAACACAGTGCAATAATAATCATAATCATAATAATCCTGTTCAAACAGGAGAAATTTTGTTTGAATTTAATGAAAATGAAAAAAAATAATTTTGACCAACAATAACATAATGATAATCATTTTTTGATTCAAAATGGGAAAACCAGCCAAAAAATCTTTTAGTAACCAAAACAAAACAGAAAAAAGGTCATTAAGCAATAGAGTAAATATTAGGTCATTGTATTTTTTGTTTTTGTTGATTGCAATTAATATTCCAAAAAAATACGGGTGTTTTTTATTATCATTATTATTATTATTAGGATTTTTAGGTGAAACCAATGCAATGATGCATATTGATGGCCTAGCATCCCATCAATATATATAGTTGTTATTTATGTATTGATCATATGTCCTAATATCTAATTTGAGACAAATAATCAAAACATACAGATCTTTGTTTGTTTGTTTTCTGGGTAAGTCTTGCGCACTTTGAAATCAATTCAGTTTTTCTTTGGGTCTGTGAAAGTTGTAGGTGTGATGGAATAAGAATTTGCATAGTCAGCATAAAGAAAAAATACATTCGACGATACAAGACTGTAGTATTTCATTCTCATCAAAAAGAAAAAGATGTTTATTTTAGTTTTTTCGGTGCGCATCCGCAATCCAAAAAAAAATTGTCCAAATGAATTCAAAGTCACATATAGTTAGAGTTAGTTAATCAATGATATATGGTGCTATATAATGACCATCATCAACATGGACATCAATCCAGGAAGTGTTAAATATCCGGATTATATGAAATTTCTCTTTTGCTTTTTGAACAGACTATTATGGTGACAAAAACCATAATGTGTATGAACGACAATCACGTGTGCTACTACCAAACCAACATAACCTAAATTGGCCCTTGGCATTCACTTTCAACGATAAATAGATTCTATAGAATCCATATATAAAACAAGTAAACATTATTGCATTCAATAATATTCTAATACAAAGAATCAAAACAAAACTAAATTCTGATGGTGAAGGACATATATATGAGAATGACGGTGACCCACCCAATCATCACATTCACACAAAGTCAATGGAAAGCAAATACAACAACATAATCTAGTTCAACAAGATGAAACAAACCTGCCTAGAATCAATGTGGAAGCCTTTTCTTTTTCAAAAATATATGGGACACCAAGCAAATTCCAAACCAGTTCAATGTTGCAACCACCCACGCCAACGAATACACACACGGATATATAATTATAATCGATAATATTCAATAGATATATTATGGCATGATATATGCTGATGGTTAATGACTTTCTCCTTGATTTTTCTGTTTTGTTTTGTGTATTGGGAATTGGAATTTCGTTTCGTTTTTGGATGAAAAAACATTCGAATAAATTGGATTCATGAAAAAGAAAACAAAAAGGTATGATCCATTAAGAACATC